AGCTCTTCTGCGCACTTGCCTGCTCTCACCTAGGAGAGTCTGACAAGTTGTCTGCCATTTGAGAAGTCCCTCTAGCGCCCTACTCCGGTTGAGCTTAAGGGAGGGCCCAAGCCAGGGCCTTTTTCACGCAGGCGGCCACTGCCGCATTAATCATTGCCTGTAAATTCTGCTCCTGGGTAGAAGGCTCCCTTTTCATGGAGTCCTAGGCAATGAGATACCTAGGGGTATAGAGGGCAAGTGTCACCAGCAGAATAATAGGGGAGGCACCCCATATAGTGGCAGAGGCAAAGTGGGCAGCGCATGCCAGGCACAAGCGTGAGTATGTAGCAGTAGGCTTGGTGTTCAGAGGTAATGGCACAGACAGCGCAGGCCAAATCAAGGGGCACAGACAAAGCAAGCCAATCAAGGGGCACAGACAAAGCAGGCCAATCAGTGGGGCACAGACAAAGCCAGACAATCAGAGTGTGCAGGTAATAGTGCTTGAGGGTAGTCCTGTAGGCATGTAGGAATGGAGAAAACAACTAATCCACATTAATTGCAGGACACAATGATGGAATAGACTGGCAGGCCAGCGAGGGCCTAAATACTAGTGGAAACATGCACCCCTAGATGGGCTTTCCACTATCTGCCATATAGACACCCCAGAAAAAGGAGGGGGTGGGGCCATGGGGCTTTAATACAAAAACAGGTACCATACAGAGGTGTGCCAGGAGAAACTTGTGCTTCATGCAAATCCTATCAAATAAACATTTCTTGCACCAGCCTGAAGAAATGAACATATACATTGTGAGCTAAAAGTGCAAACTGCTTAATTAATTGGATGAAAAAAACAAGATAAAATACAAAAAAAATTAAATAGGCGCACTGTGTCTTTAAAACCTAAAATACTGAAAGTGCAAATGCAATATTTATTTCATGCAAAATACACAGTGCAGCAATAATAATACAATCCATATTGCTTTATAGATTGCATTTTGTAAATTTCAGTGCCACACAAGCGAAAGTGCACTGTGCAAAAAAGTGTAAAAAGAGAAACTATTTTTAATTTACCACAGCTTTTAATATACACCCCAACTATAACACCAATACAAGGTGTGCTCCAACCATGGAGCAGAACCAAGCAACAACTAGGAACACGTGGTGTGTACCTACCCAGAACTAATACCCCTCTTGTGTACACACAAAGAAACAGGGAATGTAGTGAGGCCAGGAGTTGTCGCTCCCACGTGGCCGGCTCGCCCTCTCCCCTCCGCCCACACCGCCCACAAGCCGTGATAATCCGACACTTGCTGCTGGGAGCGTGGGAGGGAATGAGAAAGGGTCTAAGCCAGCTCCCGCTCGGTGGACAGTGTCAGCAGGCGGGAGCTTACATGTGGGGCCGCCGGAGTCGTACTCCGCGGCCCCGACGGTTGGACAGCGGGGATCAGTTCACAGAACCACTCCCCGGCGACCGTGAAGAACGAAAAGCTGAAGCAAAAAGAAAGGGGAGGGGGAAGGGAAAAGCGGGGTGGGGGGTGGGAGGAGAAGGCTGGGAAGAGAGAGAAGGTAGGAAGGGAGAACCTCAAAGCCCCAATAGGGAGCCAAGCAGACCAGCCACAGAACACCCCCAAAAGCAGTTAAACGAAAACCCCCCACAACCATAAATACAAGATAAACTCAGTAACAAAAGTATATATAAATAATGACCCACAGCCACCCATATGGAACAGGAGGCAGTGGTACTCTGACCTGTGTTTGATGTGGAGCAGCAAAGAAAGAGGAAGTAGTTGGTTGGGAGGGGCATTTTATGGTTTCCTTACTTTTTCTGATTGTTTTTTCTCTCTATGTTAATGTGCTGCTGTGGAGTTCTAGTAAAGAGAGACTTAAGCAAATATGAAGCCTCCTGTCATGTTATAAAATTTATGATCTTTAATTTAATGTTTTTCCAATGAAATGATTCATTATTTTGTCGGACTAAGTTTCCCACCTATACTGTATTGACCACGTTCAACAATTTCAAATGAAGACTCTGCACAATCTATTGTTTAGATTTTGTTTATTTCTCTGTCACTTGGTTTACTTGTTATAGGACTACATTTGTCATTCACACAACTTTTTTATACCTTGAACATGCAAAACGTAAAAATCTCTGGGCATCGATGAAAAAGAGTTTTGGGAGGGGTTAAATATAGGTTTTGGGGAAAAGAGGTTTTTGGGGATCAAGCACGTGTAGTTTGAATTATTTGCAAAGTACTCACCCTCCTTTGATTGATAGTAAAGTGCAGGAACGGTTATACTGTGTGAATCACTCAATGCAGATGACATGTTGACGACAGACGTATGTTATGTACAGATTTAACAATAGGCAGAGTGTATCTAGAACTCTAGGTAAAAGTGAATATACTTCTGTATGTGCAATACTTCAAGCAGAAATGCTTTGCATACAGATTCCTTCTCCATGACCACTTCTAAAAGCAGAAGTGGTCATGGTGGTTGGAGTAACTCTCTAAGCCACTAATCCAGCACTGTTTATCAGTAGTTTACAGTAAATCTGTGCTGACAGGACTAGCTTTATTTTATTTATTATTATTTTTATTTTTTTTAGTAACAATCACACAGTTAAAAGGTGCTGGAGCGAGCTTTCTAAAATTCCGCTACTAGAAGGTAAAACAAATATTTATTGGGTGCCTCTTTTTGTTATGTATCTATGGAGCTGTTGATATAATTAATGCTAAAGCCTGAAGTATACGCTTTGTTTATTGCATTGTTAATGAATGATTTAAAATGAAAGTGAAATAAGCTTAATGTGAATCACCACGGCCTTCCCCATGTTATATAGTCACGTAGCTTAATTTCTAGGTCAATGATCTTTGTTAAAAAAAAAACCTCCATATCTAATAAACAAGGAATCGAATGAGTCAATTGCTTAATTCAGCTCCCATAGAGAATGAATTGGGAGTGAGTTTATAGGTTCAGGTGCACAAAATAGATTTTCCATCTAAGCTGCTGGTTTTACACAGAGATATAGTAATGACTGACTTCACTAATCCCAGGGATAATGGAAAAATAGAAAATATGCTACATAAACCCTTAAATAAGTCCAGTTTGGTAAAGTGATGAACACATTGACAGCTATGATGCACAAATCAGTATCATGGCTATACCAAACATGCCATTTAGCACCACTGGTATGTGTTACTCACCACTTCGACAAACATAGATTGAAATATAGCAAACTGTTTTATCCTAGCATCACGGCTCATGTCATTCGACAGCACCCAGGATGCCGTCTGCTTCCTTACTTCAGGATTTACTGGTAATTACTGTGATTTGCCATCAGTGCCCTATTGTAGTTTATACCAAAAAGCACATACATTAAAATTATGTGATTCAATTTGTTATTGGCCAAACTATTTTTGCCTGTTTTCTATAGTCCATGATTGGGCTAGTTCCATTATTTGTTGAAACTCTGCAAACTTTAACCCATCTATTTTATCTGCTCTTATGTACCTCCAACTCCCCATCAAAGATATATTGCATTAATTGGGCACACAGCCAGTGAGAGTCCCAAGCAGGGGAGGTGTTACTAGGGCTGCATAAAGACAGTGATTTAAATCCTGAATGGCAGGGAATTTAGAAGTGAGACTGCAGGGGCATGATCTACACACCACAGTCACTCCCATTAAGCCAAATTTATGTGGTGCTGAGTATGCTCCCTTTAAATTTATATATTACTTTAAATTTATGTATTACTTTATGACGTGCGCATGTAGTAACATGTAGAGGTTAAGTTGCCATTAAAGATGCTTATTTGACCCCACCATTGTAAGGCTTGTATATATGCTCTGTCAATACCCTCAATTTCCTCTTTTTCTGACCTTGTAATAGAAAGATGGATTTATTGACTCCTTCCTGACACCTATCCAAGCTACGTTGATCATCTTCCTCTTCTGAGAATAACATTACCTGCCCTATGCGCACTTCATAATTATACTCTGAATGATCCTTTGTTGTTCGCCCCTAGGAACCAAAATATATAGTTATGAAATTGCTAAGTAGCAAAGTTGGAAAACTGCAGAATTTGAGATTGTTTCCAATTAACCAATTGATTTAAAGGGATACTCCAAGCACCATGAGCATTTCAGTGTTTTGAAGTGGCCATGGTGCAAGTCACTCTGCTCCTATTATAACTAGCCATATCTTTTTAGAACAATCTGACTTCTTACCTGGAGCCAGCTGATCATAGCTCCCTGCGTCCTCTCAACTAGCAGCAGAGCCAGAAGCACCTGATTGGGAGGTTCTGCTGGGCTTAGCCCTGCAGGGTTCAGAGCATCAGCTAGTCACTCTCAGCCATTGAGCTAAGCTCTAAACCACAAGGCTTACCTCGGACAGGCAGCTTCTGGCTCTCCGATGGCTGTAGTGGAGGTGCAGAGCACACCTGGTGCCCCCAGGTAAGAAGTCAAACATTTCTATAACAGTTTGATTACATTGGGGTTGCGTCAGGGAACGCACAGCAACTACAATTAACTTTTGTAGTTGTGGTGTTTGAAGTGCTCCTTTAAATTTGGCAAAGCATCATGTTTTAGATTTCTGTTACTGCATTATGAGGATGGTGCTTTAAAAATGCAAACAAAAAAAGGAAAAAACTAATATTTGTGTATCCTACTAATTTCAATGCTGTGCGGCCTCTGAAGTGAGCTTTTACAAAACAAAATAAATAAATAACTGCAATTAACTTTATGTAGCACTACCTTATGGGCACAGCAAATGATTCTGATGGTTGTCAGATGACATAACTCCAAATCAGACACACAATGTGCAATGTTTAATGGCACAAAAGGGTGAAAATGTTTTAGAGCTCAGTCATTGTATAGAAACCCTTCATAACTCAGCCCATCTCCTGCCAGGCTCTTATTGTGCGCACATTACTTACAGATATCCTGTTCCTCAAGCCACTTTGTGATCAGCTGATCAGCTGCTTTTTTTTGGATACAATTACGTGTACTATGTTGTGGGAGGCTGGCTAGCTATAGGGTTGTAAGGTAGAATAGGGGTTGGATTTTAGGTGATCACCTACCTCCCTCCCATCATGCCCTTCCCCTCCTCCTTCTTCCAACTGCTAACTAGTGACAGGAGTCTGGAGAAGAGTTAGCACCATGGCTGAATCCCAGATTCTGTGTCTGAGAGATAACAATGTGAATGAGAAAGTGACCGAAGACATGGTGCACTTCTATTACAGTGAGGACCAGAGGAGGTCCCTGCAGCAGCTGATCGATCATGGGGTGCAGGAGTACAGGCAGTACATTAAGCACTTTGGTCTGAGGGACTTTCTGTCCAGCAGGGAACTGACTGAGTTAAAGCGTTCCTGGGCAGAGTATGACACGGCTCCCCCTAAGAAGAGCAAGCAAGTGTCCGGTAAACAGGGAGCGGATACAAAGAGTTCTTTGGAATACTGGCCACAACTATCAGACACCGAGATTCCACCGCTGGACCTGGGCTGGCCCCAGAATGGCTACTACAGGGGGGCTACCCAGACCCTGGTATACACCCACCCACCCAAAGAAAATGCCCCCACCATAAAGGCAGTGGTACGGGATATGATTCAGAAAGCGAGAAAGGTAAGTCAACCTGACTTGAGGTAACAAAGAAAAGGGAAAGGGAAATGGCTTTGGGAGGACACTGGTGGACTACAATCCCCATTATCCTCACCCAGGTGTTGGGTAAGCGGAACTTGTAGTAAAAAAAAACCCAAAAAAACAACAGGCTGTTATTATTTTGTCATAAGCATGTCCTGACTTCAAATTGGATAAAGTGGCTGGAAGTGATGGGTGTTGGGCCCGGGGTGCTGGAGAAGGGAGGCGAGTTATTGTTGTGTTCGTAGCTTGAAAGTTCTGTTCTGTCGAAGAATGAAACAAAGTCGATTGGTATAAACACATACCCGGACACGACGTTAAACTGGAGAACATAATAGACATGTTTGGTATTTTGTCCCTTGGCCTTGATCAGATACTGATACAAAAAAAAAAATTCCCCCCAAAACAGCCAAAGCATTATTTTTCTATATGTTTCCTGGGGTGTGAAGTGCCTCTGGGTATAGCCATACCTTGGCATTCTGACATCTGGTAAACATCAATGGGGGGGAGGGTGCAGTGCAACCTTTGCCTGTGTCTGATCTCTGTAGGGTTAATTAGGGCATACCATTCCAAAAAAGAAAGTGTGCAGTTTATCTACAGAACTTACTCTTTTTATGTAGTATGAAGGTTTGCTGTTGTATTATACACCAATTATTAATTTAAACTAAGGATGTTTAATTATCAGTCAGTATAAATTAACATCCTGAGGCATCATAATTCACCCTGGAGAGCTGTTATGTTGTAAATCAGTGGTTGTTACCTTCCCATATATCTGTGGCAATATTTGCTCTGCAAATATTTAAACTTTATATCTCCTGTTAGTCAAGCCCACCAATTGTACAGATAATACTGTCCTAAGATCTCATGTAAAACTGCATAAACTGTGCAATCTGTGACAAACATAGGTTCAGACATGTCTGACTGTTAAATGCTTAAGCCTTATCATGAACAGCGACGTGTTTGTCTACTGGCATAACACAGACTAAATGCAAAGGTAAATAAGACACTGGCCTAACCATACCTTTAATTAATTGTTTGTTTATTTGAAGTTCTACCTGCTGTAAGTCTTTAATGTTTTTTTACTTTTTGCTGTACTCTCCCACCTCAGCTGTGGAACTAGGTTTGAGGGATTTAGCTCAATTTGATTCAAGCTGAAAAGTTAGAGGGACTGCCATTTATCTGATAGTGAAAGTTCGTTGTTTTTTTTAACAATGATACATGCTTCACTTTCTAAGCAGATGCCTGAGCCCTGCACTGCATTCCTCCACATTGCTGTAAAACATACATGCGGCACTGTGGGGGTTAAGTCTATCTGCTTTGTATAGTCTTGCTGTGATAGGACATGCTGGTATACTATGTGAATCATTAATAACTGGGTTGGGCAAAAATGTTGAATACAATGGTTCGACTTCAATCCTGCTTCCCTGTTTCCTGAATGTAACTCAGTAATATAACCCGTAATTTACCAGCAGAGGTCGGGGAGGTGGTCTACTCCGGGTGACAGGCCTGTGACTCTTTGTAGTGTTGCCTTGTTGGAGCATGCAAAGCATTGAGGCACATATACCGGGGATAAGAGGACAAGATGAAATGAGCAGGTAGGTGTCACGAGCGTGAGCTGTAGGCCCAGCCGAGACAGTGGGGGGGAGAGTGTGGAAGTGACAGGGTTAGTGACACCAGACCCCTGGTTACCTGTTGCTAGTCCCAGCAACCACTCAATTAACCCCTGCAATCCCTTCTACACTAACCCCCTAGTACACACTTTACTGCCACCACCAAGACTTTTAAACCCGGGCGTTTTAGGTTACCCCACACACAGGAGAATTATAGAATCACAGTTCTACTTTTACTGATCAAACCCATATAATGAACCCTTTTTGGTAACGTGTTTACCTGAGCTTTCCTCTGGAGAGTGAAGCTCATAGAGAACAGAGACACAAGCTGATTAAACATTTAATCTGCCCCCCTCACCGACACAACCAGAGGCAACGCACAAACACGATCCAGAGCAAGACACAAGTAGGGGCGGTGCCCCTGATAACGCTGTAGAGCAGGAGACGAGCGAAACCCACGACATCGCTGGGGATCAGGAGGTGACAAGTGGGGTTAAATGATACACAAAAGGGGAGAGCCGCTGCAGACAAGAGAAGACACAAAGCAACAACACAACAGGGGAAACATGAGACTTCACTATGGACTGGGCCACATGATACACCACCACCACATGTATGGGTGGAGGGCCAAATACACACAGACACACACCAATCGACACAGGAAATGAAACCGGGAGACAACCACACCAACACTAGACCGAACACACACAGGGTTACACCTACCTCCACGAGCAAGGAACTCACATAGGCAAACCACACAACAACTAGAAAAGGCCACACATGCGTCCAATACACACCACTTGAACAATGTCCACCAGGAACATTGCAAACTAGATGGAGGCAATAACGAACACATACTTTTAGACGACAGAGACGTGAAGAGGGAGACCGCAGGACTTAGGAGAAACCTAGCGATTCGCTAGGGAGACGGTCCAACTAACAGAGATCAAAAATACAAACGCATGAAAGGAACACACAACTCTGACCGCTAGGTTGGTACGACTACCCCCCACGATCTCCAGGACTCCAATAAACACGGGAACCCAGGGGAATTAGGGGCCAGAGTTTTTCAGGGTATAGCTAGATAATCCTACCGACCCCACCAGAGGACGCACAACATCCTGAGCACAGGAACACAAATCAGGAAGGGGGAATTACAGCAGAAAGGAGATTGGGATGAGAGGTAGCTGACAAACGTGCCGAAAATGCGACCTTAGGAAAACGAGGCCTGCGGGCTCTGTGGGAGTAGAAACATGATGTCAAACTAGATACATTGATACCTAACATTATGCATGAGACCTGCGTGTCTCCTTACCAAATCTGCACGCTTGTAAACAACTGCATTCAATAAAATTCATATTTACCAAAAAAAATAAACATTTAATCTGACAAAAAAGATTCACAGAAATAAATTACATACAGATAACAAATTGCAAAACAGTACATAAAATAGGAGAAAACACAAGAAATTCCTTACATATATTTACCCCATATAGAATTCTTGTGGGAGTCTTAGATGGTATAGGTCTCCTAGAAGTTGCTGACCAAAGAAAAAAAATGAATAACTGAGCTCCCTGGATAGTCCAGCACCCTCATTGTATATCTAAACTAGTTGTTTCTCAGTGGGCAGACCCCTGGAGTGGGGAGAGGGGGGAGGGGGAGAATCAGAGGGGGTTGGTCTGGCAGTTTATTGCCCACTCTATGCAATTCCTTGTGTCCAGCTCTGGTGATGGCTATCTAGATGTTTTATGGTCTAGGCCTGGTGCAAGATCAAAGACCACAATAAATGTCATGGCAAGGTTTACAAAATAACAACTCTTAAAGGGACACTATAGTCACCAGAACAACTTTAGCTAATGTAGCAGTTTTGGTGTATAGAACATGCCCCTGCAGCCTCACTGCTCAATCCTCTGACATTTACTATTTAAAGCCCTTTGTTTATGAACCCTAGTCACACCTCCCTGCATGTGACTTTCACAGCCTTCCATAAACACTTCCTGTAAAGAGAGCCCTATTTAGGCTTTCTTTATTGCAAGTTCTGTTTAATTAAGATTTTCTTATCCCCTGCTATGTTAATAGCTTGCTAGACCCTGCAAGAGCCTCCTGTATGTGATTAAAGTTAAATTTAGAGATTGAGATACAATTATTTAAGGTAATTTACATCTGTTTGAAAGTGAAACCAGTTTTTTTTTCATGCAGGCTCTGTCAATCATAGCCAGGGGAGGTGTGGCTAGGGCTGCATAAACAGAAACAAAGTTATTTAACTCCTAAATGACAGTGAATTGAGCAGTGAAATTGCAGGGGAATGATCTATACACTAAAACTGCTTTATTTAGGTGACTATAGTATTCCTTTAACATATCTCAACACACATCCAACACCAACTCATGCTTTTGGCATGACAGTAGGATTCAGGTACTTAAAAAGGTAAGACAGGGTAAGCAGAGACAGAAACAGGGTAAGGTGGCATTAAATGAAAACGCCAAACAGTATAACCGCTATCGCTAATGTTGTGGCTATGGTGCCTTTCTCAGAGTAAGTAGTCAAACTGCTTTAGAACTAGGGTCCCGCTGGTCACTGCTGCCTCCTCTACAGACAGAAGTTCTGCATCTGAGCTTATCTGTGGTGGTGCAGAGTTGTGCCCGCTGGCTGAAAGCACTCAGCTGACACTAGGCTCTGCATCAGTACTAAATGGTTACTCACCGTTTCATAGAAATTCTCTGTCCCCATCAGCCTGAAGTGTTAGGTGAGTTACTATGCACCCTATTTATGCATGTTTAGGTGAGTGCAGCCAGACCCTTGTTTTCTCGTGTGTGTATAACTAAACCCCCATTATTTTTTGCCCAGATTATGTGTTTTAAAAAAACAAAAAACCTAACAATCTGTCAGCACCAAAGTTGCTGTTTAGTAGATAATGAAGTGTACTGGATTTTCATTTTAAGGTGAGTTACTATGAACAGTTTATGCAACAAAAATTTAATTTAGAACAAGAACTATTATATTGACACAGACTGCGTTCTAAACACATTTATTGTACTTTAAAGACACAAATACATTAGTATTATTGCTGTGAAGCTCTATCATACAAATAAGAACTGTTCCTCCTAAACTGAGACATTTTGGAGGTATGGGATGTTTTACTTTGATATATACTATGCGGATCTTGCAGACGATAAAATCCCCAATCTTACAAGTTGCACCGGTGGTCTTACACTGTAATTTCCTCAGGCCAAAGTTAATCCGCAAAATATATAGTACAGGTGACCTATTCAAAGCATAGAACGACATTTGTCCAACATAGAATGAGTTAAAGCAACTCTGTCACACCCCCCCCGAAAAATGAATATTTCACAAAGATAGAATCTTCATATATTCATATTGACTGTGTTGGAATTTAACAGAAATTCCAACCAAGTTAAGACATATACTAAAACATAGTATATTTCCTACACATAACACTTCTAGACACTGGGTGGAGTGTCATCTCTTTTTGGAAATGTTTCATATATGAGTGAGATTACCCTGCTAATGTCAGATATCTCCCAAGTTTTTCCATAAAGGATCGTTCTGTAATCTTACATCTCCTGGCAAACAAGATTACCTTGAATTGTGGAAGGATTTAAAATTTTATAATTTCCCTCTACAGTTTACAGAAACCACAGAGAAAGCCAGTCATTGTTAAATCAATAAATGTGGAATCCAGGTGAAAGGAGAAAGCGGCTTAATTGAAGTTTTGCATACACCTGTCCATACGTAAGCACTCAGGCGTTCCTTACAAAGCAGATTATAATCATTTTAATTATTAGTGTTTGGTTTCTCTTTTGATTTATACTCTTGTCCTGTTCTCTTTAATAGTAGGAATTGTTTTGGGCTGTTCCCTTTTTTATTTCTTTTACTTTGCTTGTGTGCGGTATAATATATCAGAATATTATTTAGATTACCATGCAGATTGATAGCTACAAACTCCCTGAAACTGCAGGATGCACCTCTTGTGACTGTCTGGTAGACTGTCACTAGAGGCAGTTTTAGCACTGCAATGTAAACTGCTAAACTGCATTGTTTTACATTGCAAGGTTAAAGGAACAGGGACAGTGCACTCAGACCACTTCAATTAGATAAAATACACAAAGAATAGGTGGAGCAAGTGATAATAATAGTAAAATGTACTTCCCTCTCTTCTACCTTTCTTGCTGCAAAAGATAGAGAGGTACAAGATAGTGCAGATATTTCTATACACAGAAAAAAATAAATATTAAATCTTATGCACTCACAATGAAAGAGCCATAGAATAAAACCTGGCTCTGGTGTGAATCTCCTCTGGGATCTTAATTGGGTGATCCCCAAACCTCTTTGTTGGTACTTGTTGAAGTGTAGCTTCTTTTTCTTTCAATACCAGGCAATGGAAAATGAAATATGTTCCAGAGAAAAAATATTTATTTAAAAAAAAAAAAAAAACTTAATAAAATCAATATAAATAATATAGATATAAAGGGTAAGACCTCCCAGTGTCCAGTATGCTTGCCAAAACGCGTTTCGCCAGTATGTGGCTTCCTCAGTTGGCATAAGGTGATAATGTTCTCCAAGTCCTTTAAATATTTAAAAATCGCGGGTAATTTTCTTCCGGTGGAACGCATCTATGCGTTCCACCGCCTCCTTCCGGTTTCCGGAATCTCTTCGTCACTTCCGGTTTCGCCGAAAATACAAAGCGTTTGATGGAACGCATCGACTTCTTCCTAATTCCGGAGGAATTACATCATCTCCGGTTTCATCAGGCTGTGTGTAAAGAGGCCCCTTCTTAATTCAAACGTCCTTGGAACGCATAAAAGATACTGCTAATAACTTTGGGATTGACACATTTATTGTGCAAAATACCGGAAAGTATATTTTATTTCAATTTGATGGGATACTATCCTTCCTTTCTTGTTTGTTTATTTCACATATGTCCAAATTTCATTTATTTTATAATATTGTGAAATATATGTTTATTGCTGAAGCATTGTAATGATATTACTTGCAGCATTTAATATAATATTGCTAACAATCTTGGGAACCGATATATGTGTTATGTATAACATTGGAACGCATATGCGTTCCAAGGACGTTTGAATTAAGAAGGGGCCTCTTTACACACAGCCTGATGAAACCGGAGATGATGTAATTCCTCCGGAATTAGGAAGAAGTCGATGCGTTCCATCAAACGCTTTGTATTTTCGGCGAAACCGGAAGTGACGAAGAGATTCCGGAAACCGGAAGGAGGCGGTGGAACGCATAGATGCGTTCCACCGGAAGAAAATTACCCGCGATTTTTAAATATTTAAAGGACTTGGAGAACATTATCACCTTATGCCAACTGAGGAAGCCACATACTGGCGAAACACGTTTTGGCAAGCATACTGGACACTGGGAGGTCTTACCCTTTATATCTATATTATTTATATTGATTTTATTAAGTTTTTTTTTTTTTTTTTAAATAAATATTTTTTCTCTGGAACATATTTCATTTTCCATTGCCTGGTATTGAAAGAAAAAGAAGCTACACTTCAACAAGTACCAACAAAGAGGTTTGGGGATCACCCAATTAAGATCCCAGAGGAAATTCACACCAGAGCCAGGTTTTATTCTATGGCTCTTTCATTGTGAGTGCATAAGATTTAATATTTTTTTTTTTTCTGTGTATAGAAATATCTGCACTATCTTGTACCTCTCTATCTTTTGCAGCAAGAAAGGTAGAAGAGAGGGAAGTACATTTTACTATTATTATCACTTGCTCCACCTATTCTTTGTGTATTTTATGTCATTTTATGTGAAGGTGTAGGGGATACCTCACTGGTGTTGAGAGCAATTATCACTTCTGGAGACATACCTGTTTGTATTATTTCACTTCAATTAGATGCCTATGGTGTCCCTTTAAGCAAATATCAAAGTTTATATTGTGCTAAGTTACAAGCTCATACATATTGGTTAAGAGAATTTGCAGTCCATTCATACTCTTAGACATTAGTGGTTGGAGTCTTGATGTGAATATATTCACCCAGTAATACCAGCCATGAGCACATACTGGGGTATTACATATGACTCATGGTTCTCATGGTGGTGACCTGATCTACAATAGAGTTGCTGTATAACCCAGTCAGGTTAAATTATGGTGGGGTGTCGGGACCACCTGACTAAAATTCACAGTAAAAGTTGAAGTGGCTCCAATTAACTCCCCTGTCCTTGTAAGTAAATATTCCCTCATGTTCTTGTAAGCTTATTTAAAAACAATCATGACCATTTTCTATAGATTTTACTAAGTCCCCTATAATTGTGTTGTGTGTTTTTTTTTGTTTGTTTTTTTTTTTTCCCATTTGCTTTTATTGTCATGGAAATATTTGATCATACACACAATTACCTATTATATCTTATAAATGATGTTGTTTTTGAAAATTTGATAAAGTTTTAAAAGTGATGCAAGGGGGCTGAGGACCAAAATAGTTAGATTAACACTATAGTGTCCAGAATAAGTTTGCATTCCTGACACTAAAGTGTACCTTTTTAAGCTTTATATTATTGCTGCTAAACAGACATTCTACTTGTATTATTTTGTGAATAGAATAGATTTTGTTTATCAGACAAGTCTACAAACTTTGAGTATTTTATAATTTTCTGAGCTTTAGACGATATATTTTCATTCCGAAGTGTTGATAGTGTCTGTTATCATGGCAATGGCAGTTTGCTCATTTGGCTGTTTCAAAGCTTCATGCAGATGCCAGTATCATTAGCTGAAACACTACATCCATTCAGATTTTTGATAGTGAATTCTTAAAGGTACACTTTATTCATCAAAACAACTTTAGATTGATAAAGTGGTTTTAGTGTGTATATTATATCCCTGCAGTCTCACTGCTCTATTCGCCTCCTTTTAGGAGTTGAATCACTTTGTTTATGCAGTCCTAGCAATACCTCCCCTGACTCAGACCGGCATATCCCCCCCACACTTCCTGAAAAGAGTGATCTAATGTTAAAATGTTTAATTTAGTTTAGTTTTTCTGCTCGAACCACAGCACATACTGGGATATTTGCACTTGTGTGCCAAGGGCTAGCTACAACCCTGGCACACATCATTATGGCAGCCTGGAACTGATGAATATCAATTCTGTGAATATTTTACGCCTGTTGTGAGTGCACACGCATGCAGGTGACAGGCGTTCTCTAATCCTGTGCCTGCAAGGAGATGCTTGTGTCTCCCCTTCCTGTTGCCCTCACCCTTCCCTATCGCCTCTATTTTAAAATTTTTGGGTCTTTCTCCCTCCCAACTACCTCTATCCCTGCCTTCCCAGGGTGCTCAAAGGCTCTCTGAGTCGGACTAAATGGTACAATCAAAGGCTTCTCTGCTGTGAAATCAGGAGGGGTTGTGCTGAGCAGTGCCTGGATCTACGTCTGGCTATGGATTTCAGGTGAATTAAACTTATTTTATTACTTTTTTAAACATTTGCAGGGAGGAACTAAAGAATAATGCCCAATGGGGCATAATTCACTTAAAATAAATAGTAAACTTTTAACAGATCAGATTTAAAAAAAAAAAAAAATACAAGTAAACATACTGTGCTGTTAGAATGGTTTGTGTCAGGCCCCCTGCCCGCACGCTTCTCACGGCGGCTTCACTTACCCGCTCACCGCGGCTTCTAGTGCCTGCTCGCCGTTCGCAGGTATTTCAGTGACCATTCTGGCAGCGTGCATAAATATGCGCCCGAGTCAGTCACCTGACTCGGCACACATTGATGAAGTCAGGGGGAAAAGTGGAAGGATTAAATACCTTCCACGTGTTATAATTAAAGGAGCACTATAGGGTCAGGAACTAAAAACATGTATACCTGACCCTATAGGGTTAAAGCCACCATCTAGCCACCGTGGTCTCCTCATGCCTCCCTAAAAATAGTTAAAATTTACTTGTATTCAAGTCTGGAGATGCAGGCTTTGTCCCTGTTTCCTGTAGACCTGCCGGCTGACATCAGCAGAAGTGGTAGCCTGATCCAATCACAATGCTTCCCCATAGGATTGTCTGAGACTGACAAAGAGGCAGATCAGGGGCAGAGCCAGCACAATTCAAACACAGCCCTGGCCAATCAACATCTCCTCATAGAGATGAATTGAATCAATGAATCTCTATGAGGAAAGTTCAGTATCTGCATGCAAAGGGAGGAGACCCTGAATGTTTGGATGCATTTTAGGCAGCCATGACCCAGGAAGGATCTGTAACAGCCATCTGAGGAGTGGCCAGTGAAGTTATCACCAGGCTGTAATGTAAACACTGAATTTTCTCTGAAAAGACAGTGTTTACAGCAAAAAGCCTGAAGGTAATGATTCTACTCACCAGAACAAATGCAATAAGCTGTAGTTGTTCTGGTGACTATAGTGTCCCTTTAACTCTAATTAGAAACTAGCCAATCAAAATTACCCTAAGCATATTTAAACTTGCCTTGTTGCCCTGTTGTGGTCTTCTGATAGCTCAATAGCATGTTTACTCTGTTTGATCATTGGTTACCGAATTATGGCTTTGTCTCTCGTTTACTCTGTCTTCTCTGATCCTTGACCTCGGCTTGTCTTATCGTTGTCCGTATCTCTATATTCCTTTGACTTTGGCTTGTACACTGACCTTTCCCCTTTTGCATAGCCTGGCCATTCTAAGGACCGGTATTGCAATTGTTCCTCTCGTGATCTGTCTGTGTGTCTGGTTCCGGAACCGTGACAGTTTGAAATTGGAACCCTTATTTCATGGAAGCTGTGTGAGTCACAGCCATGGTTGGTGTGGCTAGGACTTCACTGAATGTCTTCTTAACTTCTCAACCTTTATGCACAACATTAGGAAAGAGCCAAATAGTATTTGTATGTAAATACAAAAAAATAAAGCTTTATGATGCAAAATGTTTCTTTCATAATTTCACTGGACTTTACCATCAGGCATTTGAACCAGTAGTACAATTCCTGCAGCTGCATGTAACATTGTAGCAGTCATATGAACAAACTGCTGTGCAAGTCTGGCACAAACGAAAATATATACTAGCTTTTTCAGGCCATGACATAGAAACCTGTCCACGTCACAAAGTCAGACTTATAATTTGTATAATGGGAGGGGGGTGTGAGAGGATGAGACTAAGACACAGGGGGGAGACCAAAGTCCAAAATATAATTTATTATAATTTTAGAGCTTTTTATTTTTAGAGCCTTGTGAACCAGTGGACAGATTTAGCATATTTAACTGGTGGTTGCTTGTAAATTGATAGGGACTTTATTCTGAATCAGTATTGCATCTTATTGACACTAACTTGGATCTTGCTATTGGGGGTAAGATAAGACAATGTGTCAGGGTTTATTACAAAGCAGTTAAGGATGTTCCGTGTTTAGGGAAATTTCCCCAGAAAATATCTATCCACCACATAACCTACCCTGAAATGTATATATATATATATTTATTTATTTTTTTGATAGTCAAGCAGCAAATCATGTTACTAACCTCCTCCCCCATCTCATTTAGACAGGGTGAAGTTTAAAATAAATGAATAAACTCCCCCTTTTTCCAGCACTGGGAGAGTCTCCACGCTGCAGTTTCGATCCAACACGTCTACTGAAGAGTTTTGTCCAATCAGACTATTCTCACAGAGAAATATTCTGATACAGGGTGCATGGCGGTCCACCAGTGATTATTCTCACAGAGATACAATAAAGCCAGTAAGCACTCATGTCTACTTTAAACAGGTCAATTCAAGCGAGGCAGGACACCCTCCCATCTGCCAGGCTGACACACATGAGGTCATTGTAAGTTCTGATTTCTATTGTAGTTGGCACTTTTCTAAAATAATCCTGCAGTTAACCCCTAAAAAGCTGGAGTGCTTTTGGTGACTAGTGTCCCTCTAAGCCATTTAGCTACAGAAAACCTAATTCAGTGCAAACCAAAGCACATTATTTAAATGATCATGTCTAAACAGACTGTGTTAGAAGACAGATTATTGGTTTAGAGTTTACTGCTGTGGAACACAGTTTTAAACTCTAATACATACAGTCAGTTTTTTGGGGGTTTTTTCCCTCCAAAAAAGGAGATTAGAATAGAAATAAATACAGGGGCATTTAAGCCCTTAATAAGGGACACTTGGGCAGCACTAAAATCAAAAACAGCCCACTAACTTCTTCTGCTCTTGTCCCTCCTTTTTACCATTTTTTTTATGGCTTCGTGTCTTTCTGTATTGCTTCAAATGAACATTATTTATGTCAAGACAATAATAATGCTTTTATTTGCTGTGATGTATTAGAAATAGTCCCCGTAAAATGTACCATGTTGAGAGACGCCTTATGGTTAGGTTCAACAATTTGTGAACATTCTTGTGCCAGATAAAGTGTTTTCAGGGGAAATCTTGTAAATGTAAATCTGATAGTAGAAACCTGTCTGACCTGAATTTGTGTATTTCCCAAATGTCAGCACAGTGGGAGGATTAGTTTTACGTTGCAGCCAAGAGGTGCAGTAATTTATTCTCACGTGCACTTTATATTTATACTTATATTTTAACCCCTTACAAAGCTGTATTCCTGGCACTATCGCTCCCTCTGTCTCTCCTCTCCCTCGCACCCCCCCTCCTTAGTGAATAAAGGGTTAAAAACCCTTTATTTACTTACTTTACTGAAACAATGCTTTCCTATGGGGAAAAATCTGACGCTGGATGTCCTCCTGCAGAGTGTGAGAACATCCAGCATCAGATACCGGACAAAAGGTCTGTTTCAAACCAGGAAGCCCTCTGGTGGCTGTCCGGGAGACAGCCACTAGAGGCTGACTTAGGGCTGCAATGTAGTTTAATGCTTAAGATTGCAGCACTAAGGGCAATAGGGACACTGTATCCAGACCACTTCAGTGAGCTGAAGTGGTCTGGGTGCCTATTGTGTACCTTTTAATGATGGCGTGATGTTTTATGCTTTCATGTACAGCAGGGCACTATCACCCCATAATGTGTTATTATCTATAGCTCCAGCAAGACAATATATTTAGTGGCACTAAAAACCTGGGGTTCCCTTCTCTCAGCTGCAGCCAAACTTAATGGCCCATGCCGACCTATTCAATGTGACAACTAATATCCACATCATTGAAATTGGCTTCACTGAAGGTCTTGGTTAAAACGACACTATAGTAGCCCATTGAATTGGTCTGGGTGCAGTGTCCCTGTCCTTTTTAATCCTTCAATGTAAAATCAAATATTTTATTTTTGTATGTTATTTTTTATTTTTTTACATTTTAATCTAAATATAGTTATCGTGCCAGAAGGCCCCTGGATGCACTCTTACCTCAAGGGGTAAATTATTCTTGAACAGTAGAAATTGTAGCTTGCAGATAATGACACCATTGTATTGGTAGAGCTTTGAACATGTATTTCGAAACAAGTTTCATAGAAATGGTGAGTGAGTTTTTTTTCTTTTAAACTAGGGATCGACCCAGGTTTTCCAGAGCTGATACCGATACCGATTATTGGTTGCCTTTCGGTACAATTGCCAAGAACTGGTGTTGATATTTTGTACATTTAAAGGAACACCATCGCTTTAGGAATACAAACATGAGGACGTCCAGCGTCAAATAAGTGCGATTTACTTAGAGTAAATCGCGGAAGCGCCTCTAGTGGCTGTCAAAGAGACAGCCACTAGAGGCTACATTAACCCTGCAGTGTAAACATATATTTTCAGCTACTGGGTTAAAACTAGGGGGACATAGCACCCAGACCACGTCATTGAGCTGAAGTGGTCTGGGTGCCTGTGGTGGTGCTTTAAAGTATTAAACTAACAGCAATCACACTCCTATCGCTCTCAGTCAGCCAGCACAGTACATTACAGTAGATCATTCACTGACTTCCTGCCCTGCCTTTAGCTAAACTCCGCACGCGTGGTCTCACAGAAATGGGAGGTCACGACGTGGCATTTCATTGGTTGGTGGCTAAAATGATCAGATGCAGAAGACAGCGTGTGGTGACTTTGAAAGGTGAGTAACTTATTGGTAATGTCAGTAAATTACAAAGACGTAACTGATTATTAGTAAAATGTTGAATAACAGCTCTAATAAATCGGCAGAACCGATAGTCAATCCATCGCTAATTCAAACTTCTTGGATGCAGGGTCTTAATCCAAAATACTTAGCTCTGCAGCAAAGATTTTTTTTTGCTATCACCACCGCAAGGTAGAATAGGAATATGGTCAATGGCTGTGGGTGTCAAGGAAGGCAAAGTGTGTCCAAGTTTCTAAAAGTATTTAGGATCTCAGTGGTCAGATTCCTGAAACCATCCTACTTGTAGACTGCTGATTGCAAATCCTGTCTCTTAAGGGTATACCAGACCATAGGGGCAAAACATGATAGCCAGCGGTACATGCTATCCTGTGTGTTAGCACATATTTTCTCTTGATATTTGAGTGTTAGAAATATTTGTCTGCTACCACATGTGCACAGGTGGCACATCCTTTTTTTTTTTTTGTTTTTTTTTTTAATTTGACAATTTTTAGTGAGTCAAAAGCCTTTAAACGGGATACAGAAGATAAAAAAGTAAGGGTATTTATTGCCATCCCCATTGCAGTAGGGATCATAGGGTTAGAACAGTACAGCCAGTAGTTACAAAACAATATGTACATTGACATTAAGAAAGGTTGCGTATTCCCATTTGAGTTTGGTGCCCCTGGTAATTTACATAATACTTTTAAATTAATGCTTCCTGTCACATCCGGTGTATTACCGATTAGTCATTCTGGGCATCTATCAATTCGAAGCATATCTTTTGCCACTAAATCTTAGCCTTTATGGCATCACCCTTACTATACTGTTACAATGGTACAACATTGTTAACCTTGGATTCCACCCATGTAGTCTTGAATAACTAACTGGCTAAGGCCCTCAGCTGAGTGGTTATGATCTGTGACTGCTGCCGTCTATCCCCCTCTTTTACAGTACACGTGGTGTACCCTTTTTTCGGAGGGGCTATACCCCATTCTAAATTACCCTCTCTGTGATGCTTAACTTTTTTATTTTTTAAAGAAATGAAAGAAAGATAAATATACACTAGTAGAAAAAAGGGTTTAACTATTTACAAAGTGGGTTTGCACTGGCGGCTTGTACTCTGTATTTGTAATGGATGGTATAAAACCTATTCAGAACAGTTGGTGCATCTTATGTTTGCCTATACCATTCTGAGCTCTGTTGTGTGATGTGGTTGTTGATTCGGTTGTTGACCCATGAAGACTAGAAATCACACCTCAGCCTGGCCTGTGAGCTGTGACCTCCCTTTCTCCAGCCTCCTCGCTTTCCCCATGTCTTCGCTCCACTTTCTTACCGTACTTTTTTTTTTATTTTTTGACCATTTTACTCCTTTTTCTTTCCCCTTCGGACACCTCCCCCTTTTGTCCAGCTTCTCCAATCACCTCATCTGCAGTGTTGGTGACACAAATCCCCCACTTATCATTTGCCTCCTGTAGGTGTTTTTGTGGTCGAATGTGTCTATGCGCCATTGTTTCTTAATCTAGGTTCAATGAAATTTGGTTCAATAGTGCTGGCGTTGTTGGAAGAGCAGTGGTTTTCCATGCCTTGGCTATTAATAAGTTTGCCGCTATTAGTATGTGAAAAAGTAGGAAAGGCCAGGAAGGCAATCTAGTGCTATAAATAGTAGACATAGTTCGGGAGTGATTTCAATGTGTGTGCCTAATGCAGTGGTCACGATGTTCGCCACTGTTTGCCAGAATTTATTGATTTCGGTACATGTCCACCATATGTGGTACATCGTACCCACCTCTTGTGAGCATCTCCAACAAATGCTAAAAGTGTTCGGATATATACGTGCTAGTCTGTCTGGCACCATGTACCATCTATATTGTATCTTCCTCATAAGTTCTAGATGGGAGGTGCAACTCTATCTACCCATGTGTGCCACAAATGCTGTGTTCCATACTCGTGTATCTAATGTTTGGTTTAAGTCATTCTGCCATTCAAGTCTAAATTTGTCCTGTGGCTCTTTCTGCGGGTCAATTACCCGGTACGTGGAGGAGAATACTTTTTTCAGGACGGTGGGAAGTGAGAACGATTTCTCAAAATAGAACATGATAGGTGTAAGTGGTTGTACTAGATGCTGTAGATAGGAGAACAACTTTCTGGATGGCACATTAAACTTCCGCTGGAGGTCTGGAAACTGAAGTAGAACAGTTTCATTGCAAAAAGATGTCCTAAAGTGGAGCATCCTCCAGTCAGCCAGGGTCTAAAATCTGCTGGCGCTATATAAGTAATAATAATTCTAGGTTAGAGTTAAATCTTAAAGGGACACTATAGTCACTAGAACAACTACAGCTTTTTGCATTTGTTCTGGTGAGTAGAAACATTCCCTTCAGGCTTTTTGCTGTAAACACTGTCTTTTCAGAGAAAATGCAGTGTTTACATTACAGCCTAGCGATAACTCCACTGGCCACTCCTTAGATGGCTACTAGAGGTGCTTCCTTAAAGGAACACTATACTCACCTAAATTACTTTAGCTAAATAAAGCAGTTTTAGTGTATAGACCATTCCCCTGCAATTTCACTGCTCAATTCACTGCCATTTAGGACTTAAATCACTTTGTTTCTGTTTATGCAGCCCTAGCCACACCTCCCCTGGCTATGATTGACAGAGCCTGCATGAAAAAAAAACTGGTTTCACTTTCAAACAGATGTAATTTACCTTAAATAATTGTATCTCAATCTCTAAATTGAACTTGAATCACATACAGGAGGCTCTTGCAGGGTCTAGCAAGCTATTAACATAGGAGGGGATAAGAAAATCTTAATTAAACAGAACTTGCAATAAAGAAAGCCTAAATAGGGCTCTCTTTACAGGAAGTGTTTATGGAAGGCTGTACAAGTCACATGCAGGGAGGTTTGACTAGGGTTCATAAACAAAGGGATTTAACTCCTAAATAGCAGAGAAATGAGCAGTGAGGCTGCAGGGGCATGTTCTATATACCAAAACTGCTTTATTAAGCTAAAGTTGTTCAGGTGACTATAGTGTCCCTTTAATCAGTCCTGCCTAGTGTGTCTCCACCCTCTGCATGCAGACCCTGAACTTTCCTCATAGAGATGCATTTATTCAATTCATCTCGATGAGGAGATGCTGATTGGCCAGGGCTGTGTTTGAATTGTGCTGGCTCTGCCCCTGATCTGCCTCCTTGACAGTCTCAGCCAATCCTATGGGGAAGCATTGTGATTGACTGAGACCACCAATTCTGATGATGTCAGCAGACCTCAGACAGTTTCACAAGCAAACAGGAGCAGAGGTAGCAGCTGCAGACTTGAATACAAGATTTTACTATATTTAGGGAGGAAAGGTTAGATGGCAGTTTTAACACTACAGTATAAGGTCAGAAATATGTTTGTGCTCCTTTTAATATCTCATTGCAAATTCAATAGCAGGACAATAGTGCAGTGATTATGTGAGTATCTGTCTCGTTGCTTTGATCCCTGTTCCAAAGTGTAATGATAGGGGTCTTTAAATAAATAATTCAATCAGTAGCCACAGGTTTAGTAATGTTCAGTAATGCCTCCACTGGCTGATGAATAAGATTTTAATATTTCACATAGACTTGCAGGCCAAACATATATGCCAAACTTGTAAAACCTTTTAAGATTTAAAAAGGTAATTTGTGACCTCTAAATACAAAAACTGTTACAATTGTAGAAACACACCTGATACATCATTTTTTGAAGTTTATTGAAATACATTTGTTCTTTAGCTGTACAATTATGTGCAGATCATTATAGTTAAAGCTGACTTTTTGTTCTTCTTTATAAGGCACTATAATTGCTCTGGTCCTTAAAGCGGCATTGTCATGCCGAACTTACCTTTCTTTAATCGATTTCTCTTCTCTCCCTCTCTCAGGACCTGTTCTTAATATTTTCCTGTCTGCTCTAGTTTTCTTTAAAACATAAGACAAAGTATTTGTCTTATGGAGGTTTCCTACGCCTGACCATCTCTGATCAACGGAGGAGCAAAGTGTGCTTCATTTCCAGTGGTCAGAGAAATTTTCCCACAATTCTTAGCTTTCCTCCCTGTTCCCGCGATGCTTCCTGTCAGTATCCCCGAACGTCTTATCATTTAGACAGGACGCCAGCAAAACTGCCGAATTGCAGGGTGCGGAGCCAGCTGCCGAACCGACAGGTCGCATCTGCAGAGAGCTCCTGGCGATATCGGCCTAAAAAGACCAATAAACCTCGAAAATATCACCCCCCCAAAGCAAACCAGCTGCCCACACACGAAGCAGTAATGGGCAGGAAGACTAAAAAACCCAAGCTCGATCTGCCCCAGCCGGGCACCAGCATAGGAGACCTGTGGCGGCGGGCACATGGCGCACCAGAGCCTGACATGGCCGCCTACATAGATGGCTTAGAAGACTCAGACGAACTGCTCTCTGAACCAGAAGAGCTCTGTTCACCCACAGTGTGGCCAACGGAGAAGCCTACCACGCAGCCTGACACAGCCCCGGTCACGAAAGCTGAAATGAGGGAGCTGCTGGCGGAGCTCCGCTGAAATATTCAGGAGGACGTAGCTGACATGCGGAGAGACATAAAGGGCCTTACGGACCGCGTGGAAACCGTGGAGCCAAACTCCCACACGCATGCCAGGCAAGTGACCTCCCTCCAGCAGGAGATGAAACTGCTGCAACAGCAGCACTTGAAGGTAGAACGGGCTATGGCAGCAATGGAGGACTCACGACGTGCCCAGAACCTTAAGGTCAGAGGCATCGCAGAATCAGTTCCAGAATCTGAACTTCCCCACCTCATGTGGCGCCTGGTGAGTAAAATACTGCCACCAAAGCAAGCCAAGGGAGTAGGCCTCGACGGCATATTTAGAATCTCTAAACCACCAACAGCCCCATCAGCAGCAACCAGGGACTTAATAGTCAAATTTCAGAAGCGACAGGACAAAGAAGCAGTAATGGCCGCCATTAGAAGCACTACGCCGCTCATCTTTGAGGACCTATCTAGGGGGACTATGGCCTGGCGCTCAACCCTTAGGCCTTTCACCACCCTGCTCCGCGAGCGCGATATTAAATACAGATGGCGCTCACCCCACAAGCTTCAAGTGCTCCAGGGAGACACCACATACTTCATAGCGGACTTGCAAGAGGCGGAGGCCCACCTCTCCACCCTGGGCCTTCCGGCAGACGCCATACGACGACGTCACACAACCCTCAAGCCACACAACTGGAATCCGGCTACCTCCGAACCCTTTGTTCCCGGTGGACTCACCTGCGCTGCACAGACTGTAGCCACCACCTGAGCGCTTCCGAAGGGGATGGCCGAGCCTTGCCGGCCACTTATACCCTTGCCTTGGTTTTCTTTTTCTCTAATTTACCGCATTGTTAGCATTTAATTTTGTATATAGTTTCTGGTCTAACAGTATATTTTAGGGACGCAATCTGGGGACATGCCAGCCATAGAGGCTCCCACTCACTAAGGGCGGCACTGGGGCAGCACAATGCTATTAATCACACCTGGCCCTTGTGGCCACCGGGTCCGCCCAGGGCCGTCTAGACGGCGGAAACACACACACCACCAGGCCACAACGACCCCGGATCCGGCCATAAGAGGCCCAACCGGACATACGCTACGTCCACACACTTATCCAGCACTAGGGCTACAGGCATAGGGGTCGCCCCAAGCCATGCTTCACCACACGCAGCCACCATCTACACATAGAGCGGAGGCCCTCGCGGGCTTCCCACATACCTCACGCCACTCTCTGGCCCTGAGGCTGACACTCGTGCACACTCCCTGAGGGGGCCCCCCCTCCACCTTAACGCTACACCGGGGTACACGATACTGCCTAGAGACGAAGGATGATGTGCTATTTTCCTAACCCATTCGGGCCCTTAAAGGCGGACCACTAGAAGTATAGAGAGGCCCTGCATAGAAACCAATGAGAACAGAAATAGGACCACACCACGTAGACCAAATCTAACAATATAGTGTACTGTATCTTATGCCTTGGGCTACTCACACATAGCTCCATATTGAATATGTCTTGAGTCATTAGACTACTGCTCACCCACACCCGAACATACATAAAATTAATGTCATAACGTATCGGAATGAACACTGACAACCAAACGTCTGTATATGTATATATTTGTTGGCTTCTCTTTCACTTCATTTCATTGCTATGTCTAGTTACGCATGTATATAAAACTTAAAATTGTGTGAATTTTCACGCCACAATCACAATGTTATGTATCTCAAATCGCGCTGTTATGGCGCCTGTTGAAAAGATGTACCTACCTGCACAACAAAAAAAAAAAAATTAAAAAAAAAAAAAAAAAAAAACTGCCGAATTGCGTCCTAACAGAATGAGAACAGTTTCTCCATTCGTGTTAGAACACAAATCAGGACTTTGTTCGGATCGGAATTTCATTCTAATGAATGAAACACCGATCCTATTCGTGCCGCGGCTGCATCTTGGTCTTTCAGCCACATTTACTAATAGGAGTGTGGGCGGGGGGAGGACAATAGGTCCCTCCCCCTCATTTTCCTTTATGGCCCCCACCCACCGCTCAGGGGTGGGTTCTGGGGGGGACGACGACAATAGGTTCCCCCCTTCTCATTATCCTTTAGGGCCCCCACACACTGCTCATGGGTGGAGGCTGGGGGGAGGAAAATATGTCCACCCCCCCTCATTATCCTTTAACGCCCCCACCTGCCATTCAGGCTCTCTCACTTCTAAAATATTTCATACATCTAAAATCTGTATTAAAAACACATATTGTGCCAAAATTTATCATGTGCATTGTTGCAAAGTCCGAGGCTGACAAGTCCTGACATGTCTATTTACAGCAAACAACACTTCTGCGCAAATTGTCATACTTAAGGGTGTTTTTGTGATACACCATCACTTTTTATTTTATATCAGATGCGCCAAGTTGGTTAAAAAGTCCTAACCTCAAGTAGTCACATACGATCACCAGGGACTTCTTCCGCTACCTCCAGATACAAGACTTTGCTAGCTCCAAGGAAGTCAAGGAGACAGCCACCCTCCCTCTCACCTGGTTAGAGAATATTTGTTACCAGGAAAAACACCCTAAGGGACTTATCTCACTATTATACTCACCTTAGCGGGGAGACCAAAGAATGGGGGTAGCTCTGATACACGGACCAGTGGGAGGCAGACCTGGGGGAGACACTAGAGGGCTCCGACTGGCAGGACATTTGGGAAGCTACAGCCCGATCATCTATTTGTGTTACCCTCCAGGAGCAGTCATTTAAAACGCTTTTCAGGTGGTACACCCCCCCAATAAAACAATTCCGTATGAAGATCACTTCCACAGATCTATGCTGGCACGGTTGCGGGGAACAAGGCACCTATATGCCCATGTGGTGGACGTGCCCTTCATTACAGGCCTATTGGTCTCAAATCACCACCCTAAGCTCGAACATAATGCAGAGACCATTAGTTAGACCCATGGGCCTGCCTTCTCTCCAGGCCAACAGAAGGCCTTACACGCCCAGAGCAACAACTATTAAACATGGTATACTTGGCGGCCCGCAGGGCACTGGCACAAACATGGCTATGCATGGAAATACCCCCCATAGCATTGGTAATAGCAAAAATAAAAGACATTTACCTTATGGACAGGTTAACCTCCCTGGTCAGACACACCACTAAAAATTTGGCAGAGTATGGGAGTTGTGGGAGCAGTACCAGGAGAATATGGAGGTTGGACACGGGAACTGAACACACACTCGGGGCTCACGATAAAAGGGCACACGACAAACCTCATCCGGGTCGCGGAAACAGATTCACCAATTCACTATATTATTGGTTTTATGTTTAATTTTCCAAATGGTTTTTGTTATGGTACTGTCAGTTATCAATTAAATATAAACACACTAATCGAAGTGACACATAACTCTACAGCAAGTACTAAGAGACAAACTAGGATACGCTTTCACAGACGACGCCCAGACCACTGAAAAGATCAGAGATGTCAGTTTGCATACAGCTTATACTAACGTATCATTCTTCCTTTCTGTATAACTAAATTGGCTAAAACAAAGTACTGTGACTTCTGTGTAAGCCTATATATATATATTGTTACAAATATGCACTTCTTTGTGTGAAAAATAAAGAATAAAAAAAAAAAAGTCCTAACCTGATTATCAATCAAAGAAAAAAATAAATAAAAAATAAATGTATAGGTAAACATTTTATAGCAAAACAACATAGTTACTTAAGATTTACTGGCACCACTCCCAGTATTCAAGCATTATAATAAATCTCGATCCTTCAAAAATATTATCTTTATTTGCCTATATTATTACTCCCAATATCTGATTTCACTCTCTTGATCTTTGTTCTAAGGTAGGGCTTTCACTTTTACATGTAATTTTTAAAGGTACATCACTCCATAAATGTGAACCTATAACTGTGTTTGGGTTTTATCTTTTTTATTTCTTCCTGTGTATTTCTCCAGCAATTTTAATATTATTTATTTACAAGACTGGTAACAGAACACTGCATTATGAGATGTTACACCAGTTTTATTGTAAGTATTTCACAATTTTCAAATCAAGTATACAAACTTTTCTACATTAAAATAAAAATATTGATAATTTTTCACGCATGCAGGCACGTAAGTATGTTGGACTTTATGAGCAATAAGTACTGCACAATCATTTATAGAAGTTACTGTTGTGCATTCTGTCACTTTAACAGTCAGAATTACAATAAATAAATGGGAGTCTAAAAATAAAAAATGAATAATAAAAATTATCACTTCAGCAGCTAGAAAATATATTCACAAAACACTGAATTGTGTAGAATTGAAAAGAGAATTGAAAAGAGGATTGCAAAAGAGTTGAAAAGAGAATTGAAAAGAGGATTGCAAAAGAGATGAGCTGAAAAAAATAAACATTAATCTGAACTCTTTTCTAAAACTTGCAGGCCACCTGTCAGTTCTCCACAATTCAATGACTAATCCCCAGTGGCTGACATTAGGGTAGGTGATTGCAGTTAGAATATTTAGTTTAACTATCCTATCAGACATGTGGTTAAAGGGACACTCCATGCATCTGAAGCACATTAAAGGGACACTATAGTCACCAGAACAACTACAGCTTGTTGAATTTGTTCTGGTGAGTAGAATCATTACCTTCAGGCTTTTTGCTGTAAACACTGTCTTTTCAGAGAATATTGGTATATTTAAATTGTGTCAGGGTCATAACCAATACTTAGAGGCTCAAAGGGTGAGATGATATTGAGGAAAACATACTTTTAAGACTACACAAAAATAAATTATAAACACTTAAATAACTGAGGACTGTCCTCCAGCCGGGATGAAGGGAACTACCCTAAATACGTCCCAATTTCTGTTAGATGATAGTGTTGCTGGGGCTTGCACGGGTTACTCCAGGCCAAGTGTTTGAAAGACATTAGGTGCTTCCTCTGGAGCAGAGATCAACAGCTTCCCATCTTTGAGGACCATCAGTGACCGTGGAGCAGACTATCGATACAAGATTCCCGCTGCGTGGAGTCTCTAAGTTATAGGTTGTATAGAATTTCTGCAAAGTAGTGAGGAGCGATATAGATCTTGTGAAAATGTAAGATGGTGGGATTCGAACTCGTATGGTGTTTCTCTTAAAAAGCATTCACTAACCTCGGTTTATCCATGTTAGACTGATATCCGAGAATGTCTCTAGAGGCAACATTAGGTGCTTGATGGGATTTAGCAATATGATAAGTCCCATCAAAAATAATTTGTTTAGCTTATTTTGCAGGAATTGTGGAGGCCTCTAGATGGCAAATAAAATGGGGAAGTTCATTCAGAGATATAGAGTCAGACACCTCTGATTTTAATACTCTGTCTCCTACCTCAAAAAAAGAAGAAGAAAATGAATGAATGGAATAAAAATGCTAAATCTTTCATTGAAGTGTTTCCTTAAATCCTTCAGTGTTATTTATCTACATTGGACATGATGGGAAATAGGGTTTTGTCTCTTTTCAACTATGTGGATCAATAGTCTCACACCACTGGCGTAGGTGTGAAAACAGCATGCACATCTTACTAGGCAGTCTAGTCAGATACTGTCTGATGTTTGACTGAACATTCTTGTAGTTGAGCTGCTGGTTGGTTTCCTCTAATGTTGAGTAGCTAAGTGGCATTACGAGGGTAGGGAATTTCAGACAGGACTCACACCTCTATTGTGTAGGAGCAGGACCAAGACAGAACATCAATTTCCAGCTCCCTATCAATACACTGTGTATCAGATGCTGCGTGGAGAGTCCAGTCAGAAACTCTATCTTCCTTAGGGCAACACTTGACCACACTATATTAGGGGTTCTTTTCAGGAGTGTCTGTTATAAGGAGAGAGTGAGTGTGTGTTTCTTAGAGTCCAGATGTACGTGTGTGTGCTTGCATCTGGGAATATGGATCTGTGTGGGGAGAGGAGTATGGATTAGTGACTCCAATGTGAAAAGACCAGTCGGCTAGTGGCCACATGTTGTTGTTGTTGTTGTTGTTTTGTGCTTTCATTAAAAAAGCTCCATAATATTTATTTTCTATATCATGTCTCTCTCTTGTAGAAGAGTCAAGTCTAATAACCAGCCTAATTTTATCTATACCTTTTATATATCTTTCCCTTTTTGTTTTTTCCAATTTGACGATTTTTATTTTCACATTTAGGTGGGGTTAGGGTTACAGAAAGGAAGAAGGGGAGGGTTGCATAATGTATCACAGTGAGAACATATTTTGGCATATTATAACATTGTAATGTAACATGTCGTGGTTTAGTAGTTTGTAATCTTTCCACTGTGTTTCCTGTTGTTCTATTGCTCGCATGGGCTGTCGGCCCACTACGGTGAGTAAGCGTTGGTTGGAATCCCATTCATAGACCTTTTTATCTGGGGACATATTTGCATTAAAACTGACACATTATTACTCTGTCGTCCACCACAACCTTACGTCTCATTTGTCTCATTGTGGGATGGATCTGACGTGTCTTATGGGCTACTGCGGGTGGGGGGAGGGAAAGAAGGGGGGAGGAGGAAGGGAAGGTGGGTGGGTTACAACATATGTACAAGTGGGTTCTTATGTTCAGTAGTGGAGGCATCTGAAAGTCATCATCAGACTTAGACTTACTTACTCGGAATGGTGGTGTGGTGGTGGGGGGGGTTACCACCTCAGGTGGTGTCTGTCAGCTGGTAGGGTATACTTGTGATGCGGGGTTGGCCCATTCCTGGTTTCTTTGTGGGCTGGGCCTTCTTAACACGCTAAAGTGTTATGTATCACAGTGTCATGCTTGTCCCTATTTTGTTCGTATGGGACTTTCTGGCGTTCTACTTGTGATATGGTTTGCTATCTCGCCTCTGTTTGATCTTCCTCTCACACCTCCCCGGTGTCTTGTTTTCCCGTTGTTTGCCAGTATGCTCCCCACAATCGCCCAGCTTCCAGTGTTGCTCCCGGTTTCCTAATGTGTCAGGCAGCCATCAGTTCATACTCCCAGTTGGTTTGTATTTGTTGCCTCAGCATATGGCTTGTGGGGGTGGTTGTCGTCTTCCATGCCCTAGCTATTAGGGTGCCCGCTGCTATCAGAGTTTGGAATAGGAGTTTAGCATGGACCTTAGATCGATGTTCGGGCCATATGTACGAGAGACATACTTCGGGGGTTAATTCTATTGGTATTGGTATGAGGTGGGCGAGAATTTACTGTCAGATTATAGAACTCTTTCTGCCAATTTAGTAATTGGATTTGCTTTTGATGTACGAGGCACGTTTTATGAGGATCCTCGTGTGACCGCTTTATGTGCCTGCCAAACCATGTGGTGTGACAATGAGGGGTTGGCATTTTCCTCAAAATATTGGTGTAGGGAGGCAGTCAGGTCGTCTGTAAATGTCTGGTCGGTCAAAAGTGAATCGTTGAGCCTCCAAGGGCTCCTATGTTTGAAGTCGTAAGAGTCTTTGAGGGTCAGCTCTACCGGTGCATGGTCTGACCACACAATTTGACCCACCCTGCAGTCGACTGCCTGTCCCAGTGTTGCGCCTTCCATCAGGGACCCATCGATTCTTGAGTAGGTGTTAGGGACTGTTGAGTGGTGTGTATATCCTTTTTGTCAGGGTGTGCGACCCTCCACACATCATAATAATGGTGTAATGTTAAAAGCTTCCCCAGGGTTGCGCATTGACGCCTAAGTGGTTTGTATCTGGGACTCCTATGAGAGAGTGTGGTGTCCATTGCGGGGTTTAGGACATTGCGTATTATCAAGGGTTAGAAGTTTCTTTGATTTGTGTTAGGTGTGTATATATTCGCTATTGTGTAGAGGGCGTTGTTTATCCGTCCCACGAGTATGACATATCTCCCTTCCCTGTCTACGTCCTCCAAGATTGGTTCGAAGGCTACCTGCCGGCTTATGAGGGTAGAGACCCCTTTAGATTTGGTTTGTGATGTAGAGTGATATTGATGGGGGAAATGTTCTGATTGAATACATGTGTGTGTTGTCCCTCGAAAGTGGGTCTCCTGCAGGCATATTATATCGGTATCGCTGTGTCGTATGTCCCTCCCCAAGCGATGCCTCTGCACCGGAAGATTCAGCCCTCTCACGTTATGACTATAGATCTTTATGGTGACATGTGTGGGAAGTATCTATTTGTCACCAGGTGACATTTAATTTTTTGGAGGTGCTGCCCGTCCCATCTCAGTTGAGCTGGGCATTTCCCTCCCTGTGTATCCCACCAAGACAAAGCTATGCCATCTGGGCGTCCCACCCCAGAGTCCAGCTCCAGTTCGGGGGTCCCGTCTGGCCTAGCAAAACAGAAAATGACAGTTGTGTGTAAGCGATCCACTATGCCTTTGTGTGTGTGTGGGGGGGGGTTGGGTAGGGGTGTGCAACAACATAAATACAAAACACATATTAAAATGTAAACCAGTAAACAAACAAACTCTTAAGTACTATCTTGTAAGACAAGAGTATGGCTTGGTGCCTATAGGAGGTGCCCTGGGGGTCGGAGCTAAGAGCTTCGATCCTGGATATTATAGCTCCCGCGAGGTCGGCCCTCGCTAACATGGTGGGTGATCACGATGACCCTAAATTATTTATCCTGCAGTCCGTATTTGCTTGGCCCCACTTACAATTAGGGGCCCCTGTAAAGGCCCCCTGAGTTACCCTGCTAAATTATGTATGTGCCGGTCAGGCCAGCTGCGCCCATAGTGGGTGCGGAAGGCGGGCACCTAAGTGGCCAGTGGATGTGGCTGCATTACCCGAGGAGAAGGCAACTCTAATTGCCTCTAGTATTGCTGTTAAGTTATGTAGTAGAGAGGTCAGGGCCGGACTGGGGAAAAAATTAGGCCCGGGCATTTTTCAATCAGAGCGGCCCCCTAAGAAGGGGGCGGGGCCAGAAAGTGTGTGTTTTGTCATCACTAATGACAACATGCCCCCTCTCAAAGTGAGCATGTTGGTTCAATGCGCAGAGCCCTGCTAAAGAGCTCTGGCACTAGAAAAAGGCCCTGAATTTATTCTGCGCAGCGCAAGCAAATTTAATAACATGCTTGCGCTGTGTTTGCTTTTAAATTGTCTCTGGTGTCTCCACAAGTGGGATACCAGAGGACAAAAGGGCCAGGAAAGTGCATGGTGCATATGTTTGGAGCCTGCTTGTGGGATTGCGTGTGTGTATTGTGGTATTGTATAAATAGGTCAATTTAATTTGTGTTTGTGGTGTAATATGTGTGGCTAGGGGCTGTAGAGAGTGTGGGATGCAGCGAGAGAGTGCATACGGGCTGAAGTGTATGTGTATAGGTGACGTAGTGTGTGTAGGGGTTACAGAGAGGGTGTGTTTAGGGAATGTTGTATGTGTTTGCTGACAAGGAATGTAGTGTGTGTGTGTGTAGGAGATCTACTGTGTAAAGGACCCAGTGTGTGTGTGTGTGTGTGTGTAGAGGATTAAGAGTGCATATAGGGTAAGGGATCTAGTGTTATCTGGAGCGTAATGTGTGTAGTGGTGCAGTGTGAGGGGTGCTGTAGTGTGTGTGTGTGTGTATATATATATATATATATATATATATATATATATATATATTTGGACTTATTGTATGTGTGAGGGGCGCAGTGTGTGTATGTAAGAGGGGTGCTGTGTGTGAGGGTGTTTTTATCTGCTGTCACATTCTAGGTTTCTAATTTTCTTTGTCTGTTAACTCACTGAGGGTTATATATATATATATATATGTGTGTGCTGTATATGTGTGGGAGTGTGCTGTGTGTGTGAGTGAGGGTGCAGTGTGTGTCTGGGGGTGCAGTGTGAGTGAGGGTGCTGTGTGTGTCTGGGGGTGCAGTGTGTGTCTGGGGGTGCAGTGTGAGTTTGGGTGCTGTGTCTGGGGGTGCTGTGTGTGTCTGGGGGTGCTGTGTGTGTGTCGGGGTGCGCTGTGTGTGTTTGGGGGTGCTGTGTGTGTCTGGGTGCGCTGTGTGTCTCTGGGGGCGCTGTGTGTCTCTGGGGGCGCTGTGTGTGTGTGAGTGTGAATGTATTTTTTATTTAAATTTAAATATTTATTTTATTAATTAAAAAAAATATATATATATATATCCCCCCCCCAGGGGTGCTGTGTGTGTCTGTCTGGGTGCTGTGTGTGTCTGTCTGGGTGCTGTGTGTGTCTGGGTGCACTGTGTGTGTCTGGGGGTGCTGTGTGTGTCTGGGTGGGCTGTGTGTGTCTGGGTAGGCTGTGTGTGTCTGGGGGTGCTGTGTGTGTCTGGGGGTGCTGTGTGTGTCTGGGTACTGTGTGTGTCTGGGGGTGCTGTGTGTGTCTGGGTGCTGTGCGTGTGTCTGGGTGCTGTGTGTGTCTGGGTGCGCTGTGTGTGTCTGGGTGCGCTGTGTGTGTCTGGGTGCTGTGTGTGTCTGGGGGGTGCTGTGTCTGGGTGTTGTGTGTGTCTGGGTGCTGTGTGTGTCTGTGTGTCTGGGTGTGTGTGTGTCTGGGTGCTGTGTATGGGTGCTGTGTGTGTCTGGGTGCTGTGTCTGGGTGCTGTGTGTGTCTGGGTGCTGTGTATGGGTGCTGTGTGTGTGTCTGGGGGTGCTGTGGGGGTGCTGTGTGTCTGGGTGCTGTGTGTGTCTGGGGGGTGCTGTGTGGGGTGCTGTGTGTGTCTGCTGTGTGTGTCTGGGGTGCTGTGTGTGTGTCTGGGGGTGCTGCTGTGTGTGTCTGGGGGGTGCTGTGTGTGTCTGGGTGGTGCTGTGTGTGTCTGGGGGTGCTGTGTGTGTCTGTGTCTGGGTGCTGTGTGTGTCTGGGTGCTGTGTATAGGGGTGCTGTGTGTGTCTGGGGGTGCTGTGTGTGTGAGAGTGTGAATGTATTTTTTATTTAAATTTAAATATTTATTTTATTAATAAAAAATATATATATCCCCCCCCCCCTCCCTTCTTACCTTTATCCTGGGAGGGGGGGGAAGAGATCCGTTTTGCCGGGGGAGCCATGCTGCCTTCCCTGGTGGTCCAGTGGTGAGAGTGAACTCTAACCTGCAGGTTAGAGTTCACTCTCGCGAGATCTGAGCGTTGCCGCGGCAACGCTCAGAATCCCGCGAGAGGACCCGGCGGAGCTGCTGGTTAGAGCTCCGCCGGTCCTCTCTCCTCCCTGCCTCCCTCCCTCTCCCAGCCGGCGGCCGCATCTCCCTGTCTGTGGGCCGGTGAGGGAGATCTTTGATCTCCCCACCGGCCCATGGATTCACATAGCAGGGCCGGCGCTCGGGTAGCGCTGACCCTGCAGGGGCCGGCCGGGGAGATCCCCTGCCGGCCTCGGCCCCACGGCCATCGCGGCCCACCGGGCATTTGCCCGGTATGCCCGATGGCCAGTCCGGGCCTGAGAGAGGTAATGGCATGTATTTAGTACACAGAAATAATACATTGTATGATACTTGCGCACTCAGGAAAAGTCTAAGGATGTGGCTTTGCTTGCAGCCTGTCCATGGTCTGCCCGCTATTTGCGGGCTTTCTTCCAGACTTGTGGTAAGCGTCCTGCTGGCTTAGTCTCTGGTTGTTGTGCCATTCTTTCAGCTTCAGTAGTCCATCCTCAGGTGTGCAGATGGCGTTAAGGGTCTTGTTGCGTTGTCTCAACAATTTGGTCGGGTATCCCCACCGGTATGCTATGTTACTGTTCCTGAGCAGGTCGGTGATAACGCTGAAGGTTTTCCTCTTCCGTAGTGTCATTGCTGAAATATCTGCAAAGATTTTGATATTATGGTACGTGGCTGGTAATTCTTTCTGTGTGCGGCTGGTTTTCATGATCGCCTCTTTGGCGTGATAATAGTGCCTCTTAAGGACGATATCCCTGGGTGTGTCAGCAGGTAAGTATTGTGGCTTTGCCACCCTGCGGATTCTGTCCATTAACAGGACATCCTGGGGCGAGTATGAGGCCTGTAGGGTCTGGTGTTCCCGCCTGTTCACCGTCCGTGTCGGTGCCATCTTTGGAGTCCACCAACAGAGGCTTTGTCTGACCTTGTTTGGCTCCAAAGAAGTGGAGCTTTGTCCTGCTTTTCGGTCGCCCGCTTGCCTTTGGCGTGGGACATGGCTGGTAAGTGCTTAGTGCTGGTTTTCCCTGAGTTTCGGGTCGTAAATGCTGTATGAGGGCCTAATGTGCGCGGAGCTAGTCTAACATGCTACCGCTCGTGTTCCGTTCCAGGCCACGCCCCATCTTTCCCTTTTTTTGTTAATTTAAATGACATGGTTTCACTGGCACTGAAAAAAATGGTTGATGTTAAAGCTTAATTGGGACAATGTTAAATCATCTCTTCTGACAGTTACAATGAAAAACATTTTATTTCTTCACTATTTTGGTGAAATAATAGGTTGCAATTTGACATTGCATATCTAGATTATCTTTCAAAATTCATAAATCTGCCTAAACAACTATGCAGAGCTTTCTTATAACCTATATATGAAGGACAAGTGCAAAATGGTATTCTAATGGTGTTCACTCTCTGTGTTGTTCAGGTCATTGCCATTGTCATGGACCTGTTTACAGACCGCGAGGTATTCAAAGATGTTCTGATTGCGGCGGAGAAGCGCATTGTTCCCGTATACATTATTCTAGGAGAAGAGGGAGTGAAGCATTTTTTGGAGATGTGTGAACTGATGGATCTCTCCAGCTTTCAACTTCGGGTAAAGTGGATTTTATGTTTTTTTTTATTTTTAGGGTTTTTTTGTATGTTTTTTTTTTTTTCTAGTCATCTGTGTTTAAACAATTAAACAAAAAAACATTACCTCTGCCTTATTCATTGAACAAAATACGCAGAGGAATAGAAACAGTGCAATGTGTGCCCTGGCTGTGTGCAGGACTGAACTAGATTGTAGTATTATATGCTACAGTGTTAATATACATGTAATGCAAAAATTTGTAAAAAAGATCAACATAAGTTCTAGACGATTTCCAGTATGGTGTAATTTCCAGAGAAGCCTCAGTTTCCATATACATTTTTGTTCCTTATAAAAGTATTAAAAAAAAAACCATACAAACAAACAAAGAAAAACCTCTTCTGCCGAACACTGTAAGCTTAGGGGTGACTGTTTTTGTTTTTTTTTTCCTGTGTTTTGTAGAACATTCGAGTCAGATACGTAACAGGGGTGGGGTTTTACTTACCCTATGGTAAAATCAAAGGCTCCCTCTCACACAAGTATGTTATGGTGGATGGTGATAAGGTGGCATTTGGTTCATTCAGGTAAGCACATTATTTGTATTCTCCTCGACACCCCCTTTCTTCTAGTCTATCTAATATTTTAGATTTCATTATCTTTTCACATTTTGGAGTGATTGAGTGTTTTTCATATGATGGTGCTTCTACTCAAAAGTTAAAAGTAAAAAAATAAAATAAAAATATTTTAGCAAACCACATATTTTTTTCAAAATGTGCATTTATAAGGGATTGGATAGAGCTCTCTGTCTTGCTTGTTCTTAGTATGGATATATGTAATTCTGCACGCAAACTATCATGTGAACCTTTATACATAGAACCTGTCTGGAACTTAATGAACTCCATGATATGAACATATATTGGAATTACTAAAAAAAAATTCTAAATTTTCCTATCTCACAAGAAAGAAAGCTCATAGGATGTATGAGGGATAAATGAGCTTCCTACACAATGTAAACTATCCATTCTTTAACCTAGTAGCTTTTTTTCTATTTCTATTACTGTCCCTTTTATTAGTATGGTTTTTTTTCAAAAGGGACGTTCTACAGAAATTCATGTAAAACATGGTTTTATATAAATATTGTTCATATAGCATCTTAGTGTAAGAAAAAATAAATTATAAGTTCCAGATGAACCACATGCAATCGAACATTTTCAGTAATAAAAATAAAGACGGTTTTCCTTTTAATGATGTGAGATTAATTGTTTCAATTACAAACATCTGTTTTATATATCAAACTGACTGTATTTGTACGTTGAGGCAAGGCCGGATTTCCCATTAGGCAGAGTAGTCACCTGATCACTATTGCTTTTAGCACTTCTAATGTGGCTTTTTGAGCTTAAATAGTTAGGAGAGTGAAGTACCAGGAGCCTTGGCTAATGTCTTCTGTAGTCCAGTCAGCCTTAATAGCAGTCCTGCAGGCAGGGCCGCCATCAGGGGGTGCAACTGCCGCCGGTGCAGTTGCACCAGAGCCTGCATGCTGATGGGACCCATCGGGTGGCCCACGCACTTATGGCCACCAGATGGTCCCTATATCTTCAGGGGCCCGGTCAGCACTGTGACCGCGTAATATCGCGACCGGGCCCCTTTAAAAAAAAAAAAAAAAAACGCAGCAAGTGCTGCTGGAAGGAAGTGGTCACTTCCTCCCAGCTCACTTCGCACGGGAGGAGTGCGCGCCAGTGAAGAGGGAGCCGTGCCGACTCCCATCAGTCCCAGCCACCCTCCTGCAAAAAAAGGTAAGAAACAGGAGGGTGGCTGAAAAATGAGCTGTGTGTGTGTATGTTAGTATGTATGTCTGTCAGTATGTCTGTATATATGTATGTATGCCAGTATGAATGTGTGTGTGTGTGTGTGTGTGTGTGTATATATATATATATATATATATATATATATATATATTTCTGTATGTCATTATGAATGTATGTCTGTGTGTATGTATGTCGGTGTCTGTATTTATGTGTGTATGTATGTATGTGTCTGTATGTCCTCATGCGTGTGTGTCTGTATGTATGTTAGTATGTGTCTGTCACTATGTATGCCTGTGTGTCTGTGTATGTGTGTGTCAGTATGTATGCCTATATGTGTGTATGTCTGTTTCAGTATGTATGTATCTGTGTCCTTTTGTATCAGTGTGTGTGTTTGTGTCTGTGTGTGTATTCCTGTGGGCGGGATTTGGAGGCGGACCCTGTAGGCGGGATTGGACGCGGGCTGAGTTAGGGGCCCCAACATTTTTGGTGGTGGCCCTGCCTGCAGGAATAGTTATAGAGGTTGTAAACCTCAGTACTGTCCAAGCTCCTCCGGTGTCTATGTGAGAGGTTGCACAGGAAGTGGAAAGGATCACTTCCTATCTCCCCACTTACAGCCTCTCACACAGGAAATGCCTTGCAGGGGAAGCTCTAAATGATGCACACTGTATAACCGCTCCTGCAATCTAATATCATTCTGGCTGGTCTACAGAAAACATAGGAGGCTGACTACTTTACAAATAACCCTTCAAACTCCCGCGCTCAAAGATTAAACCTGAAAATAAACCTTTTAGTTTAATTCCTCTTAAAAACTAAACCTAATGTACCCAAATACTAATTTTAACCCAACTTTAACCATAGTAATCCTAAACTGCCCTTATACTGCAACACATCTTATGTTGTTAATCTTCTTAACATTAAACATCCTATGTACCCCAACCGTAACTCTTACCTTAAACTAAATAATTCTAAACAAGGGCAAGGGGTCCACGTCTGGATTACTCTTTAAACTTATGGAGAGCAAAAAACGGTTCGCAAGAGTATTCTGAGAATGGAGAGCTGCTGAAATAGCCGGCCCTTCGGTGGGTCCCTGCTCAGAACTCAAGCTGGTTTTAGCTCATCTTGTGCCATTACAGAGAGAACATATCTGAAGCATATCAGACTGGTCCCACCCATACGGGCAGCCCAGACCGAAATGCCAGCAAGTTCTCTCTGCACGAGAGATACAGCAACCCCAGACGATCGTTTCAGCCTTGTTAGGCATCATCAATCAGTGAGGCATAGCTGATATCTCTCTAGGCACTGTGAGCAAGGGGTCCACTGCTGGATTACCCTTTAAATTTATGGAGAGCAAGAAACGGGTCGCAAGAGTAGTCTGAGTATACGCCTCGTGACATTGGGATAGGACAGGGCTAGACATATTTGCTTGGAATCAGCTAAAAAAGTTAGTAGCCAGTTTTTTGGTTTTTTTTTTTTAAGACGAACAAAGCTATTATTTTTAACAAAAATACAATACTTAACCCCTTAAGGACCAAACTTCTGGAATAAAAGGGAATCATGACATGTCACACATGTCATGTGTCCTTAAGGGGTTAAAGGGATGCTATAGTTGCCAGAACCATTACAGTTTAATTTAGTAGTTCTAGTGCCTAAATCCTGTCCCTACAGGAATTTTAATGTAAACACTGCCTTTTCAGAGACGATGCAGTGTTTACACTGTTTCTGGTGGCAGACAGTCAGACGCTCTACATGGAGATGCAGAACGCTCCCTATAAAGATGAATTGATTCAATGCATCTCTATGAGGGATTATGATTGGTGCAGCGTGGCATTTTGTGGCACATACACAGTAGCCTCCCAATGCTTTCCTATGTGAAAGCATTGACTTAGCTGAGTTCATTAAAGGACCATTATAGGCATCCAGATCACTTCAGCTCAATTAAGTGGTTTGGGTGCCAGGTCAACCTAGTTTTAACCCTGCAGCTGAAAACAGCAGTTTCAGAGAAACTGCTATGTTTACACAGCAGGGTTAATCCAGCCGCTAGTGACGGTCTCCCTGACAGCCACTAAAGGCCGCTTCCATTATTCTTACTGAGTAAATCGTACTTATGTGACACTGGACGTCCTCACAGAGTCCAGTGTCAAAAAAGATCCCCATAGCATAAGTAATGCTTTCCTATGGGCGGGTTTGAAGGTGGGCGCGCCTCTGGCCGAACATGCGCATTAGTCTCCACTTGGAAGCTGACGTCGATGGAGGAGGAGAGGTCACCAGTGCTGAGGGAGCCCGGCGCTGGATTAAGGTAAGCAAATAAATGGTTACCGTATATACTCGAGTATAAGTCGAGTTTTTCAGCACATTTTTTGTGCTGAAAAACCCCCACTCGACTTATACTCGAGTTAATGTCTGTATTATGGCAACATACATTGCCATAATACAGACAAGGACCGCCGGGCTCATTACAAGCCCGGCGGTCCTGTTGGGGGCTGACAGTGAGCAGTTACTTACCTTTCCTGCAGCTCCTGTCAGCTCCCTTCTCCTCCGTGCAGCTCTTCTGACAGCTCCCACTGTAAGTCTCGCGAGAGCCGCGGGGTCAACGCGGTTCTCGCGAGACTTACAGTGGGAGCTGACAGAGGAGCTGCACGGAAGAGAAGGGAGCTGACAGGAGCCACAGGAAAGGTAAGTAACTGCTCACTGTCAGCCCCCCCTCCTACACAGCCCATCCACTGGACCACCAGGGAGTGAGAGCCCCCCTCCCTGGCAAGCTAACAAGCAGGGAGGGGGAACGAAAATTAAATTAAAAATAAATTTAAAAAAAATACAATAAAAACTATTAAAATAAAAAACTTAAAATATTCAAATAAAATAAAAGAAACTTAAATATTCAAATAAAATAAAAGAAAAAAACTTAAAATAAAATAAAAAAACTTAAATATTCAAATAAAATAAAAGAAAAAAACTTAAAATATTTAAAATAAAAATGTTATAATAAAAATGCCCTCCTTCCACCCAGTTCACACACACACACACACACACACACACACACTGCATTCTACACACACACTCATACAAACACACACACACACTCTGCATTATATACACACAGAGTGTGTGCGTATATAATGCAGTGTGTGTGTTTGTTTGAGTATGTGTGTAGAATGCAGATTGTTTGAGTGTGTGTGTATAATGCAGAGTGTGTGTTTGTATGAGTGTGTGTATGTGTATAATGCAGAGTGTGTTTGGGTGAGTGTGTGTGTGTATATAATTCTAAAATCACAGAATTTCATAGCCCCAAGTTTTACCCTCGACTTCTCCACGAGGCATAGCATATTTCACAATTGTTGGTCACAAAACTGCCCTCGACTTATACATGAGATCGACTTATACACGAGTATATACGGTAATTAACCATTTATTTGCCGCAGAACGGTAGCGTTAGAAATGCATATTTGTATTCCTCACGCTATAGTGTTCCTTTAAGATTGATTATCTCAGCCATTGCGTCTGGCAGGGATTGGGGAAAAAAGTGAGTAGAAACACCTTTCCCATGTGTTCGGATGGGGCAGTCACCTAAACAGACACACACACTGACAGACACACACTTTCAGATACACACAGATACTGACACACTCACACACATTCTCACTCAAATTATAATTTGTTTTTCATTTAAGCACAGCCATCCCCACTACCTCTGGGACACTGGAGTGGATCCTTTCCCTGAGGTCCAGTGTGGCTTCTATGATCCTATCATCTTCCTGCTCTTCTTGCTCTGCTCTCTCACATGCCGTTTAGCAATGCCAGGGCCAGAGTGACACATTCCAACTCCCAGCATTACTGCCAGGCACACGTGGGAGCAGAGCATGAAGAGCAGGAATATCACAGCTCCCTCGTCGCCCACTTCCATTCTTATTTAGCCGGCCGCCTGCATTCTCTCTCGCCGCCTCCGCTGAATGGGCTGACAAACACCCAGGTGCCTAGTCGTCTGGGACCGGACACTGATGGTTAGATCAGTGTTCCCCTGTCAAATTCTACCCCAATACCCAAGCTGGAGGCAATAAATAAAAAGATAAAGTACATATTAGCATACCGTAGAGTTGCTGGGGTTAACATAAGGAGCAAAGAATATATTCCTAATATAGAATACAGATAACCAGAGACACATCAGTGTCAAAGATTGAAGAATGTAGAATAATAGAGTACACAAAGCCAAGGTTAGGAAAACCAAAGGGAAGAAAAGTTGAAATAACAAAGCCAAGTCAAACCAGAAAGATACACTAAATACTATTACACACTCTTGAGCTACTAAGACCAAGACAAGGCAAGACGGTTATGTCAGAGAAGGAACTAAATAGGCATAAGTGTGTGATAACTGGTTGTGGAACAATTACAAACCATTAGTAATATATATACATGTTTAGCCCACAAATTATTTGGTCTACTATTACTTTAAGATATGGCGGAACCAAGCATTACATGTCATGATGTTAGTGCGCACGCCCCTCTGGCGAGGGTGCATTTGGCGTCAACCAAATGCAGGGATTCTGCTTCAAATAGAGGAGGCTCAGCGTTGGCTGAGGGAAGAGGAGCGGCATGATGAAGGCCTAGAGCGGGTATGACATTCTTTATTTGTGGTGTAGTGATATATGTGGGATATTACTCACCATGATATCTGGATAGTAAAAAAAAATTCATACAAGCTGTGTAAATTAATTGGTTAATGGACAGAAGGACTATATTAAATTCAAACACAACCCCCCCCCCCCCTTTTTTTTTCTTTCTAAAAAAAAAAAAAGCTCAAAATGTTCCAAAAATTGACATTACACATAAAACAGATATTCGTATACCTGTCTATATTACCTATTTGGTTTCATTATGTATACTGATTTTACACTGCTGTTGTTTATACCTTACCAGTTTTGAATAAAGATATAAAAAAAACAAACGACAAATAAAGTCTGCTATATACCAAATTGCACAGTCGTTTTAAAGTAATCAACTCTGCAGCAGACTCAATATCACTGCAGTCTCATGGGTGTGTGTGGAGACACTCTGCAGGTGATGGAGGAATACAGCAGGAAACAGAATGTAACAATGCAGTGTGCTAGCATGAACAAATGGCTGTAGGTTAAATTCCAACATGACATTATAGTTCCAAACACACACAATGTCAAACTTTGTTACACTGTCATGCTTATAAAGCTTCCTGTATGCTACCAATCATGAATACAAGTTGTATCATTTAGTACAAATGTTTCTTTTTTTTTTGTCTTGTTTGAAAGTAGTCATACTGTAGATACATGGCACCTGGATTGGAACGGTCTCTCTTCAACATCAAATATCCTAATCCTATCTTTATTTACAAAGTATTTCCCACATTTTACCACAATTTCAGCGTAACTGGTCTCCACCTCATCAGCCTGCTTCCATCCTCCATATTAGTTGGGTTTTTTTTGCCTACAAGTTTAGTCCCCTTCTCCCTACAATACCCATTCCATTTTAATAAAAAGGTTTATTAGGGCATAATTTTTAAACCACAGTGCCCTCCTATTGTAAGTAGTCATCTTCTCCAAGTAGTCCTCTTGGTGCCACTTCCTGCCTTTTTTGCAGCCTCTATGAAATCTAGAAGCTCCAGTTTTAGGCTAGTTCATGGGCTGGGAGCATCAGCTGATTGCTGTCTGTTGGCTGTAGTGAAGGCAGGGCGTGCTGCAGTGGTTATGGTGCTTGGAGTTTTCCTTAAACCGTTTCTAAATTTCAAGTTTGTACAAATAGTGTTTGCAGCTAATTTTCTCATTGTTTAACTGTTTCTAAATTGCCTCTACCACTGCTTCTCCACCACTTCCTTACTTTACATATAACCCCTATACAGTTTCATTTATACATATGCAGTTTTCCTGGATGATTGACTTTTACGGACTAGACTCTGCGTGTTTTGGGTTTTTGTTTTCATCACAGTCTCTTTTCCAATTGTCCTAATAATTTCAGGTTTTTGTTAGTGCCTCCGAATTTCCAATTTTGTTGTTGATTTTATATCTATGCTCTCAAATTGCTTAACAAACGTGATTGATAAAAACAAAGAAAAAAACTTGTTTAAATAATCTTAAAAGACTGCATACCTTTTTATCCGACTAAGCTGGTTGCTATCATAATTTGTAAGGGCATCATGTCGTTCATAATAATGTTTGTTTTGAATTTAGCTACTTTCCTTATGTATCAATGCACATTTCAACTACTTGGCCACAATAAAGAAACTGATATTTTCAAGTCTAAAAGTTAAGTTTGCTGATTTTCATACTTTGATTCCATTTCTTATACTACACACCCCCTTTAGGTTAACCTGGAGCTCATTCAGAGTGGATCGCAACATAATGACTTTAATGACCGGACAATGCACAGAACCATTTGATATAGAGTTTAGAGAGCTCTATGCCATCTCAGAAGAAGTAAATCTTTACAAAGAGCTGTCTATCCCTGACATTCGACCAAGTCCAAGGATGGGTGCCAGAGAACGTTCCTCCACTGTTGCCCGCAAACTCATAAACCCCAAGTACTCTCTTGTGGTGGGAAGGAGTGTTGCGCCTGGTGAAATGTTAAGATTTGGAACACCAAATCCCCCAAGTGCAGACGAGAATGGTGAAAGTGAGAGCAAAAAGAGAATGGACAAATTCTTGGAAGATTTGATTACTATAGAACAGGAATTACCAGAGATTGTTAAATTGGATGACCTTCCAAAAGCAACCTCAACCTCTTCCACCAAGAAAAAAGATATTTTGAAAAGTGGGGAAGTCCCGGGGCCCAACAAGCCCTTCAAAAGATTTAGTAAATTTTTTAATTCAAAGAGGCAGCAGAACACTGCTCAGGACACGGTAGTTGAAGATGACTTTGTTTTACTTAATAAACCAAAACCCGATCCAAACCACAATATACGAAGCCACAGTCACCAGGATCTAAGGGCCTCGGGTAAGAAAGACGCATGCATTTTTTTCATTCTAGGGATATATCTGAATTCTTGAAGTTGTTCAAGATCATTGAAGTATATTATAAAATACAATATAATATTATAATTAATGTTACAATGGTAAAGATTTTAGCATTCTTTTATTATTTAGCAAATTAAACAATTGCAATAATTACAAATTAAATCTATAAAATAGCCATTTTAAATGTAGCTTACTTGACAAGTCTTTCTCCAAACTGATTTAAGATCCCAACATGAAATATGTCTACTGCTTTAAGCCTTGTCGTTGTGGAGATCATATCCAGGGTATCAAAGAATGGCATAACCTGGTCCTAAAGAGTTAAATGATGTCTCCAGGTCATTGATATAGGTCCTGTATGAATGATCTGGAGAAAACTCTTTAAGACCAAGGTTAAGCAAACGTGACATCCCTTAAGGGTTTAAAAAGGTTTTTCAGTGCCCTTTTCTGTGATAATCCTTGGTTTTAGTTATTGTTTAGAAAAATATCTACACTTTTTGGCCAAGCAGTTTGTATCCAGGTTTCTTGACCCAGGGAAAAATCTTGGAATGGGATAAGACACCTTTGTCCCTTAGCAATGAACGATAAATATCAAAAGGCTGTGTTTTTAGATAGGAAAGGAATGGAATATATGATACAATCTGTTGACATGTCAATATTGCTTGCGTTCCGAATTAGCATTATGTGAATTTTCTGTTTGTAAATGAACAAATATTGCAGTAATCATTTGCTAAGCTAGTGTTCAGGAAATATGCATTCTGAGACCCTCATTTTTAAATTACATTTTTTTTTTACTTTAAACAAAGGAAGGTAATTGGTTCAAAAATGTTTTTTTTTATAAATATATATTTACTCTTTAATGCATGTGCTACCTAAACTTTGTGTTTATTAAGTACATATTGTTTACCGTATACAATGAAACTATTTTTTGTTTTGTTTTTTTATTTTGTTGTTACTGGAAGGTCATTGGTACACAAGCACACAAGGCCCCCACTTGGTAGAACTTAATTGTTCAATATAAGAGCAGACCTGTCATTTGCTAGTTTTTAATTAAGATTCTTTATTTGACTTAAGTTCTTTATAAAAAGTACTTTTGAGGTTAAAAATAAAAATTTGCTTAAATTAAAATTTTGCATATGAGCTGGTAAACCTTTTGACCATAGGTAGTGGCTGACTTCCTAGACACCTTCATATTATATACTTCAGCAATATGTGTTCTTATGCTTAGGGAGACAATTTACATAATGCTGACTTAAGAGGTTACCTTACAAACAGCACACTCTGTACTCCTAATTCATGAAGGGCCAAAGATGCTGCAAACCTTGGAAATTAAAGAAAACATAACTTCTGAGCTTTTTTTTCCTTTCATTTTTGAACATGTTATCTATACATTAAAAGGTAAAGGTTTTTAAATGGATTTTCCTTTTAAAGGCACTCTAGCACCATAACAACTACAGTGTGTTGTAGTGGGTACAATTTCATAAGTCTGCTAGTAATGTCCCAGGGATAGCTTTCAAAACATATAAAAATTGTTTATAACTTACATGGGTGTGTTGGGTGCTCAATATGTGCTAAAGTGGGATACTTTGGCAATGGCATACACAGATATTTTTCATGAGAGGGGCTGGTATCTGAATAGACACTATCCCCTATAGACACCAATTAAATAAAAAAAAGGGTACTCTACTCCTATGAAGATCATGTATTTTGGCATTGGCAACATCCGTTTTGGACAGTGTTCAATGGTTGAGACTATTATCTGACACTCAACCCAAGAGTAATGTTAAAACAGGTTACTGAAATATGAACTTTTAAATTAATACATACTGGTGCAGACTGTAAGGACTGCAGGCAATCAGGAACACTAGATAAGTGTCAAACTGTTAATAAATGGTTTGACAACATGTTATGGGACAGTGCCAGGAGAGTTCTGGCCAGGGCCGGATTAACATAGGGGCTGATGGAGCTGCAGCTCCAGGCCCAGGCCCATGGAATAGGCCCCTTTAAAAAAACAAAAAAAAACCACACTACTCTTAGGTTTGCCACCTTACTGGTATTTTACTGGCACACCCGGTATTTGAGGCTGCCTGGCTGTGCCGGCATTGCAGTAATACCGGCAATACAAATGCAGATATTTTACTCAGTATACATGGAGATTACTCTGCAATACCAGCACTGGCCAGTAGGGGTCACTGTGTATGGAGAGAGGCAGGGATAGAAAGTTACAGCATATCCTAGTGTCTCAGTGTCCCCATGGCTCCCAGTTTCCCCTAGTCTCCCAGTGTCTGTGTCCCCATGTCTGTGTCCCCATGGCTCCCAGCCAGTGTCCCCATGTCTCCCAGTGTCTGTGCCCCATATCTCTGTGTGCCTAGTGTCCCCATGAATCCCAGTGTCCCCATGTATATGTCCACAAGTGTCCCTATGTCTCCCAATGTCCCCAAGTGTCTGTCTCCAGCCAGTGTCCCTATGTCTCACAGTGTCCCCTAGTCTCCCAGTGTCTGTGTCCCCATTTCTCCCAGTGTCCCCAAATGTCTCATTGTCTCCATGTCTCCCAGTGTCCCCATGTCTGTATCCACAAGTGCCCCCATGTCTCCCAGTGTCCCCAAGTGTCTCAGTGTCCCCGGGTCTCTCAGTGTCTCCATGTCTCACTGTGTCCCCTAGTATCCTAGTGACTTGGGGAAACTGGGAGAAATGGGAACACTGAGAGACTAGGGGACTGGGCGACATGGGGACACTGACACTATGATACATAGGAACACTGGTTAACTTGCGAGACTGAGACACTGGGAGCAATCCATCTATACAGCAGAATTAAATTGTGAGTAGTTTGTTGGTGATTTTACAGAATTTTCTCTTATGTCACTCCTTGTGATTGACATCATGTGATGTCACATATAACTAATTATACAAATTATTAGGGCTGGTAGTTTTTTTCCAAAAAAGGTGGCAACCCTAACTACTCTTCAAATACCCTTGCTTAAAGGAACACTATAGGGTCAGGAACACAATCATGTATTTCTGACCCTAATATGTTAATACCATCATCTAACACCCTTGCCCCCTTAAATATAGTAAGATCGTACTTGTATTCAAGTCTGCAGCTGCTGGCTCTGCCTCTGTACTGACTCTGTCTTCTGACATCATCAGAAGTGGTGGTCTGAGCAAATTACAATGCTTCCCCATAGGATTGGCTGACACTGTCAACTAGGCAGATCAGGGGCAGAGCCAGCACAAGTCAAACATAGCCCTGGCCAATCAACATCTCCTCATAAAGATAAATTGAATCAATGCATCTCTGTGAGGAAAGTTCAGTGTCTGCATGCAGAGGGTGGAGACACTGAATGGCAGTGCTGCACACTAGGCAGTACTGCCCCAGGAAGCACCTATAGCAGCCATCTAAGGAGTGGCCAGTGGAGTTATTTTCTCTGAAAAGACAGTGTTTACTGCAAAAAGCTTGAAGGGAATGATTCTACCAGAACAAATACAATATGCTGTAATTGTTCTGGTGACTATAGTGTCCCTTTAAGTTTGGAAGCTTGTATAGGGATGTATAGGAACAAAATGTGTGTGTGGACTGGCTGACAATAAAATTAGTTTAGATAATGCATACTTTGGTCTCTCTAACACTGTGGCATGTCCCCTTTCTTCAAAACTCACTACATACACATTTTCTCTGTCCCAGACTATATACCAGGAACTTCTGCCTGCTAGTAAGATGGTGAGGAGACAAGTGGACATGTGAGTGCTAGGGGACAGTCCTTAGAAAGCATGAAGTAGGTGCATCATTTGATGCATTTATGTCAAGCTCAGGGTGCTGCCTGCACAGTATGCCCTTAGTTGGCCAGCCTGCATGATTGGCAGGCAGCCTGACATGCATTAATGCCAGGCTGGCCTTACAATTCTTTGGACAAACATGCCCCCTTTTTGGGCATGTTCACCCTTTTTGGCAGGTCTGGTCACATGATTCGCGCCAGTGGCCCACCCTTTTACCCTGCCCATTGACTTCCAGCTTCACTGGACACTGCTGTTAAGGGGTATGGATTTACTTGAAAGATGGAAGCATAAATTAGAGCGAGATTAGCATAGAGTATGTTTCTCTATAGCTGCATCCTTTGAGTATCCCTCCAACACCATCTCCATCAGATACATGATGCTTGGGGGGTATGATTGTTTTAGTGTTTTGGTCAATAAGATACTGTAATTAGGCCCATCGTAATTGTCAGCACCTGGCCCACTGGGCTCTTAATCTGGCCCTGGTTCTGGCACCACATCCATTACATTATCATTACCAAGGTTTTTGGTTTTTGTAGTAGTGTTTGATTTGTTTCTAAATTATCAAAATGTCGGCATGTTTTGTTTTTTTTCCATTATCGATCTACTTTTTAAACACTTCTCTCTTTCTGACTGTCATAGGTAACATCAGCCCAGTCTCTACAAAAAGTGAGAAGCAAAAACAGCCGGACAAATGCATTATATCCTAAAGGTTTACAGATATCACTCCAAAGACCTTGAATGTTGAACAGTTATATTTATTCAAACCTGGAAAAAAAAATATTAAAACTGTTTTTTATTGTATTAGGTTATAAATTCTCAGGGACGATGTAAATAATAGGAATGGGGAAATATTTTTATTTTGGGGATTTTTTTTTACTTTTGATTTTTGTTTTGTTTTTTATTCATTAAAAAAAAATTGTTTCTATATAAATGCAAAATTTATGCCACAGTGCCACATTAAAAGGGATTATGTTTTGTATATGTCTTTGTAAATATGACCACATTCCATAAGGTAAAAGAATGTAACCGTGTACATGCAAGGCTTGATCCTCTTTTGTTTTTTGTTTTTTTTTCGTTCCCTAAATATATTTACTTTTATTAAAGTGGATCGGTTTAAGTAGTTCACAATACATATAACTGCAACACACAACATGTGCACTGTGCTATTGTGACTTGCTGGAAAATGTAACAACTATTGTTGTTTGATGTGCGTGCTGTTTACGTGAATTTTCAAGTTGGTATAAATTAATAAAAAAATAAATAGGTTTACTTATTTCCTTATAAAATATAATAATAATGCAAATCGTATTGCCAAAGGTCAGGTATAGCAGAATCCTTTTAAAACTTCCAATAGGTATACCGGAGAGAGATAGATAGATATAGATAGATAGATATAGATAGATATAGATAGATAGATAGATAGATATCTATAGATATATATATCTATATATATATATAGATATATATATCTATAATACACACACATCAAAATTAGCAAAGGATGCACTTACAGGTCTTCCAAATCTTATAAGTGTTTAATAAACCACCCCAAAACTACATGTGGGAGAAGATCGACATTTCGACCCCTTAGGTTCTTTCTCATACACATTTTTATTATTATGAAATCTTTAATTCCAATTAGTAGGTCAGTCTGAAGCCACAGACCTTCTTAGAAGTAATTCTACACAGGTGGATAACTATTTCCATGGGATGGAACAAAAAAACCTGTGTCAGTGCGTTGTTCCCTGCTAGATGATTTCTTGCAGCGTTTTTGAAACTGGTCTTCAGAATCCACCAACCTTTGTCATATTACTTCAGCTTTAATGCAGGCGATTTAGTCGATGGCTTCATTTCTTTTCATTGAAATGCCTGTGTAGGATGGGAGATATAACCTCTTATCCTTGTTGGCAGGGGTGGGCTATAGGACATCTTGGATAGACACTGATTTGATGCAATACATCCAGTTACATCACTACATACTGTAACCCGAATGAATTAATAAACTACAATTGATTTGCATTGTGTCTGTTGTAAACATTATGGTTCTTTTTAAGTTTATGCACTTTATTTTTTTTTTTCTGTCTGCAAAATGTTAATACTTTACTTAGGAATTATTGATGCCTGTAATTAATATAATTAACCTCTAATTTAAAGGGACAATACCTGGAAAGGGAAAAAATAAAACATTTTTTTGTTAAAATCTATGTAGTGTGGTATTTGATAAGTCTAACTTTTTGTGTATATTACATACTTTTTTTTTATTGACTTGCTCACGTCATCTTGTGCCTTTTCTTCTTCCTCCCCAATAAAAACTACAGCTTTGTCTTGATATTTTGTTTCAGAGGTTTGTCATAAATATCTGCCACCACTAATTTCACACACAATGCAGAAATTTGATCATTTTTCTAATTTTGATAATTAGACTGTTGTGTGTAAAGTGGTCAGATAACGTTTTGTATGTTGACTAAACTAGGTGACTACTTGTTAATTTTAGTTTTTCTAAATAAATGTCATGGTAATATTCCTTTTTAAATTGTTATTTATTTAAATAAAAATCTTAACCCCAAAAGCAAATGTATGACGAGGCTGATTATTATATAGACAGATTTTTTGTTTCTTTACTGAGCCTGCGTGTATGCAGAACACGTAATGAACAGAACTTTCTGGCAACAGAATAACTTAAGTGCATTCGATGGTTTCTGGCTTCATAATCGTGTTGTATTTCACTCCTTGCCTTTAAATCTCTTTCACTGTAATATCCGTTCAAGGCCATCATATGGGTGGATATTTAATGTACTGCAGATGCACAGAAATTATTTGTTTGTAGTTTTTTTTGTATTGTTAAAAGATAAAAAAAATTCTATCGTGTTTGAAATGAATGTTACTGTCTAGTACACTATAGAATTAAAATGTAAAAAAATGTTTTTATTTAATATACTTGTGTCCTACTCCATCAAAATATGAAGGAAGCGGTGCTAGAGGCAACACAATTTTTTTTTATTATTTTTTTTTCAAACAGTAAGCCCGTTTTAAATATGAACCCTTTCATTTAAAGTTTGTTGCCTATGCATGCTTAATACAAGAGAAACATTATACTCCTGGTACTAGACCAAAGAAAGAAATTTTCAGGAACTCTATACTTGAACCATATCCACTACAATAAGCTACTGTTTGTTATATCCTTTGAGTGTTGTTTTAAATAAATACACATGACTTTTCCATCACTTACTAGATATACTGCTTTTACTTTTAAATATGTCTATGAATCATGAATTGTATATTGCTCTCATGGATGTACTGGGATATAATGTTCACGCCGTCGCTCATGTCAAATAAAATGAATGCAAGGGCCTTTGTTGAACTTGTGGATGCAATGTTGCTGGTAAAAGGTTCTACCAATAAATACATCTCTTTCAATTTCCTGCCTTCATTTTGCATTTTCTGCTTATTCTGGCTAGTATTTACTTGAAGGCACTTGTCATCCAAAAAGACTGGTAGACTGTGTTGTGAGGTCTATAGCAGGAACTACAACTTTGCAAATTGGGCCATTATTTTGTCAGCCAACACTTTCAGCCAAGAAATCATGGGCAAAAGTTGCACAAATAATAATAGTTTTAGTGCTGAAGTTCTAGTGAACTTCTGGTTTGCAATGATATGCTAAAGCCAAGTAACCAGACGATGGGGACTTCTGGCACTCTAACCATTGTGGTGTAGTGCTAATGGTGCTTAGAATATTACTTTAACTATGTTAATAGATATTAAAATCTGCATTTCTCTTCAATGTGTTCGTTCCCATTCATGAGCTCTACATACATACCATAGCAAAAAAAATATCTAATCTACATACTAAAATATGACAGTTTAACATCTGGGACATCATAAAAACAAATGGAAGATTATGCTAGCGCAGTGTACTAATAATCTTAATTTTAATAATGACAGGAGGCTTCGTATTTGCATTAACTTTCTTTACTAGCTCCATAGCAGCAAAGAAAAAACCATTAAAGAAAGAACCAATCAGAGTAAAACAGAGGATATATAAGTCCCAGCGTAGCCAACCATTTCCTCTTGACTACTGCGACATCACAAGATCCAAATGTAGTAATAAGTCCTTAGTAACTTTATTCCAACTGTCATAACGAAATCCAACATGGTCATAACAATGGCCTCTTCAGCCTTTCCATCATCCTTGTGGTTTGTCAAACTGAAAAGAGAGAGAGACACTAGTATCAATGATACGGGAATGACCAAAGAAAACCAATTGTCTGTAATGAATCAACTAGTTAATAAAGACATCTTAAAATTCACCATACCAACTAGTTCAATAGCCCTATAATAAATATAACTGCATAATATGCTAATATAAGTAAGTAAGTCCAGATAAAGAACCAATCTACTCCCACCAACTACTTACCTCCATCTGGGCGGGAACTTCTATGAGAATGAAAGGGTGGGAAATACTCGCCTCCTGTCATTATTAAAATTAAGATTATTAGTACACTGCGCTAGCATAATCTTCAATTTTATAACATGACAGGAGACTTCGTATTTGCAGTTTTAACGCTTAGGTAGAAGAGCGAAAGCGGCATTGGACGACGGGCGAAAATAGAAGGTCCGAAAGGTAGATTCCCGGGACCAATCTGCCGTGTGTAGGATATCTGCCAGAGAGGCGCCTGCTAAAAACGCAGATGATGCCGCTGCCCCTCGAACGGAGTGTGCGCCAAATGAGGCATCTACCCCGGCTAGAGCGAGAATCCATCTGGCCAATGTGATGACTGAGACCGGGCCGTGTGGAGTCACATATGATACCAAGAGTTGTCGTGTGGACGGTGAGCGCAAGCCTTCCGTTGCCGACACGTAGGCTCGGAGGGTCCGGACGACGCATAGCTGGGGATCCGAATTGAAAAACGGATAGAATACTGATGTTGTATTGGATTTATTACGCTGTGATATGTGAAACGTGACTCCTTCGGGTCCAATGGAGAAAGCGTCCTTATCGAAAGTCCGAACGTCATCCACTCTCCGGAAGGACACCATGCACAACAGGAAGGTGAACTTCGCCGTCAGTTGTTTCAATGAGAGCTGGTCGTTGGGAGGCCAGTCCCTGAGAAAACGAAGGACTTTCTCCACATCCCAGAGATGTTGATATTTAGGTGCTGGCGGTCTCCTTAGTTTGATGCCCCGCAGCAGGCGGCATATTAGCGGATCCTGTCCGACTGCCCTTCCTTGAAACGGCACGTGTGCTGCCGAGATAGCTGATCTTGTGACATTTATGGTGCGGTACGACTTCCCATCCTCGAATAGGGCCGAGAGAAAATTCATGACATCGGAAACAGGGGCTGTAAAGGGATCCAAGTCCCGTCCCACACACCAACTGGTCCAAGCTCTCCATGCGGATAGATAGCTTCTCCGTGTTCCTGGGGCCCAGGAATCCCAAAGGAGGTCCTTAGCCGTTGACGATAATTCGTCGGTACGCCAGGTTCCCCTGAAAGAGTCCAGGCCACTAAGGTCAGACGGCCGTCTGACACCATCGGATGTGCGTTCCCCGCCGGGTCCCTGAGTAACATGTCGTCGTTCGGTAGGAGGATCGGGTCCTGATAAGACAATTCTAGAAGTTCCTAGAACCAGGGCTGACTCGGCCAGAGGGGCGTCAGCAGGGTCAGTCGAACCCTTCGTCTGCGAAGGTGATTGAGAACTCTGCCAATCATGGCGAATGGGGGAAAGGCATATGCCCCTTGTTGTGGCCAGTGCTGAGTGAAGGCATCTACCGCTAAGCAATCCGGGTCCGGTAGCCAGCTGTAGAATTGCGGGACCTGCCGGTTGTTTCGTGAGGCAAAGAGATCCAGTAGAAAGGGTCCCTTCTGGTCTTGTAGGTGTGCGAATATTCGCGGATCCAGTTGCCAGTCGCTGGCATCCCTCCAATGACGGGAATACCAATCCGCCGTGAGGTTCGTCTCCCCCGGCAGGTGTTCTGCCCGTAGTGTGATATTGCGCGGGAGGCAGTAGTCGAAGATTTCCTTCGTCAGATGCGCCAGGGTTCTCGACTGGGTGCCCCCCAAGCGGTTGATGTATCGTACCGCGGGTACATTGTCCATTCTTAACAGTATACAGCAATTGGACTGCCCTTTTGTAAGGCTGCGGATAGCAAAGGAGCCCGCTAGGAGTTCGAGGCAATTGATATGCATCGATAATTCCTGTGGTGTCCACGTGCCCCCTGTGGACGTTTCTCCATCCGTGGCGCCCCATCCTAGGTGACTCGCGTCCGACTCCAGGATGAAGTCCGGTTGACTGCCGAATATGGCCCGACCATTCCAGGCCTGCATGCAGTGGAGCCACCACTGGAGTTCTTGGTATACTTCTTCCGACAGCGGGACCGGTTGGTTGTATGTGGGGTTTTGGCGGAGGAGGCTGGCCTTCAGCCGTTGCATCGCTCGGTAGTGAAGGGGGTCCCGGAAATATGGCTTGTATTGAAGATGATAAGAGTCCCACAATCCGCGCCAGTTGACGGAGCGGAATGGAATCCAATTTGAGAACCCTGCGGATCTCCTTCTTGATAGCCGTCACTTTGGCTGAGGGGAGATGCAGGGTGCAAGACCTGGAGTCGATCTCGAAGCCCAGGAATTGGATTCGTTGAGCAGGCGTCATTGCGGATTTGGCCTTGTTGACAACGAAGCCCAAGGATTCTAACAGTCGTACTGTATACGTAGTGTGCCGGATGGCCAGTTCCCTTGTTCTGCAGAACAAGAGAATGTCGTCCAGATAAATTATGCATCTGATCCCACGTGTTCGGAGGTGGGATACCACCGGTTTTAGCATCTTTGTGAAGCACCACGGTGCTGGGCTCAGTCCGAACTGAAGGCACGTGAATTGCCATGGCGTGCCGTTCCAGAGGAAGCGGAGAAATGGACGGCGGTCCTTGTGGATTGGAATTGTCAGATAAGCGTCTTTGCGGTCTAGCCGCGTAAACCAATCCTTTTCTTGGAGGAGATCCCGCAATAAATGGATGCCCTCCATTTTGAAGTGGCGGTAGGTCACGAACGTGTTTAGTCCTCTCAAATTGATCACTGGCCGGAAGTCCCCGGTCTTCTTGCGGACAAGGAACATGTTGCTGAAGAATCCTCCCCTTGTGTGCGCCGGTTCTATAGCGCCCTTTATGCGAATCTCGCGGAGTTCCCCATTTATGAGGCGATTGTCCGCAGCCGAAAGACGCAAAAGATAAGGGGGGAACCTTTGAATGGGCTGTGATCGGAGTTCTATTCGATATCCTTGGACGGTCTGTAGCACCCAAGAGTCCGTGGACAGTTGGGCCCAATTCTGGGAAAAAAGTGAAACACGGCCTGCAATCACAGTTACATGAGGTACCGAACAAAGGTGGTCTCTTACCTGTAGGGAAGCGTGCACGGCCTCATCCTCGACCGTCCCATCCTCTGTCAGAACCCCTCTGGTAGTAGGGGAATGGTTGCTTGGCTCCGTTGCCCTGGTAACCTTGTTGAGGGAAGAATTGGTGTTGGAAGCCCATACGGGGGCCTGAAGGCCAGAAACGGCTGGCGGCACGGCCCCGCTGCCGACCAGCCCTTGAAAAAACACCCTTTGCAGAGGTACCTCGGAAGACCTTACGCATGGACGTGCGGGCTCTATTCAAGGAGGTAAAGACGTTTACGTGCTTATTCAGTTCCTTCATAAAAGCTTCACCAAAGAGCTTGCCCTGTGCCTGTGGGCCCAGTTCTTTGACTCCGAGGTCAACTAATTTGCGGTCGATACCAAAAAGTGCTGCCCGGCGCCGCTCCGTAGAGAGGGCCGCATTTGTATTACCGAGGAAACAAAAGCCCCTCTGGGCCCACTCTCTGATATCATGTGCCCATTCTCGTACCATGTCTGCCGTGAAGGAGTCCGATCTGACGTATGCTTCGTCGGCCAGGTACATAACTCGGGCCAAAGGGCCCATTGTGTCTAGGAGTTTATCCTGAGCTCCTTTAAAACTCTTCTCAATCCCCCTCCGTGGGTCGCGGCCCCTTTGTTCCATAAAGGTCAGCATAAGCTGATCAAATTCCGGCGTATAGGCCACTTTATCTGGCAGGGTAGGTCTGGGGCACTCTGCCCGCATCCTCTTACGGATGTGTTTTTCCAAAGGTTTCCTGATCCAGAAATGCATGAAGCGGAGAAGATGATCCGGAGGGGCCCACTCACCCGAACGAGGGTGGCGAATCTTCCTGGGATCAAACATTCTCTGGCCAGTGGAGTCCAGGAATATCTCCTGCGTGGCCGTGGCGGGGGGTTCCGCATCTCCTTTCTGCTGGGGCTCACCCAGAAATGTCTCAGTGACGTAGGCGTTGGAGCCCCAACCGCCTTCGTCAGAGTCGGAGGATTCAGCCTGCCACTCATCCAGAACGGAGAGAGAGTGGGGCACGTCTTGCTCCTCATCTGAGGAGACCTCCCCAGCATACACGGGAGGTATGAGTAGTGCGTTTATCACGCTTCATAGGGGCCTTGCCTTTGAAGGCGGCTCTCTTGGAGCCTTCGCCCTTCCAGTGGTGTTTCGCCGGGCGCTTCTTTTCTCTAGTGGAGTCATCTGACTCATCAGAGTCTTTGTGAGCCTGGTGTGGCTTGTTAGACAGCGTGTTAGATTCAGCGGGGGCAGGAGCCGCTTTTGCTAGCGCCTTCTCCAGAGACGCAGCTACCGCTGCGTTGATCATTGCTTGAAGGTCACTGGTATTAATTGTGTCCTCCATTGTGGGCACCAACAGAGACTAACAGGCACAGGTATAGTTATGAGAGGTGAGGGACCATGCGGGAGGGACTCAGGTTAAAAAACGCTCAGCGGCGTGGTACCGGACTCCTAATCGCTGGGGCTCACCCAGAGTCACAGGGAACTGCTTTGACAGTTCCCGCTATGCAGCACTCAATGGGGGCTCACCCCTAGCCAGGATAATGGGGTAAACCCTACTGGCAGTCCCACTGCCCAGGGGAAATGACATCAACCTGTGAAGGTCCCAAACGAATTCCACCTCAGTAGTAGAAAAAATGAGCTTCAGAGCAAGAGCCTTGTCTTGATAGGTGTTATACTCCACAAAACTAATAACCCACAAAATTGCCGCACGGGTCTCGCGAGATTAACAGGCGGAAAGCCCGCGAAAATGGAGCCCCTTTAAGCGTTCGGCAGTTTAGCCGCGAACGGCCGTTCGCCTGGTTAAGCCGCCGAACGCAAGAGAGAACTGATCCGCGAACGGACCCACGAACAGACTGAATTCCCTAGCAATTTGGGAAATTGTCCGTTCGCGCAACACATGCGTTCGCGGCAGCAAAAACCCCGCGAACGGCTTAGAGGGCGCAAAGTTCCCGAACCCCCGTTCGCGCTCTTTTTAAGCCAAATGGGATGGCCGCGAATGCTTGGCTCCCTGTGCGAATGAAGGTCCCGCCTGTTCGCGCTATGAGAGAGCGAGCAGAGCGCAACGGTCGGGATAGAAGGTGGCGAGCGTAGCCACCGGTGGAAAAAAAGGGGGGGAAATGGGGTGGGGGGGTGGGTGGGCTGGCCTAACACCAACCCCCTTGAAGCAGGGAGAGGAGGGTGCTGGGAGAGGCAGTCCCGTGCCACCAGAACAGCCTCAGCCCAGTACCCTGCACCAAAATGAGCGCAGCTCTCCTGACAGGGGAGGGTGAACCCACTCAGGTCCCCCTGGCACCCAAGCAAATAAAGAACAAAAGAAAATACAATCTAAACACAGTAGAAGCACAATAGAAAACACAACCATGTACAATTAAAGAAAAACAGACATCAATAACATCTAAAAGAAACCTGACAGTAATCTTAAAGAAATCAGTACTCTGACCTGACTTGTGATGGAGCAGCAAAGAAAGAGGAAATGGTTGGCTACGCTGGGACTTATATATCCTCTGTTTTACTCTGATTGGTTCTTTCTTTAATGGTTTTTTCTTTGCTGCTATGGAGCTAGTAAAGAAAGTTAATGCAAATACGAAGCCTCCTGTCATGTTATAAAATTCAATAATAACAATCGGGTATCTTGTTACATAATAACCACTAGATGGGGCTGTGGAGAAAGCAGTCAAGTCAACATGCTCAAAATATGCACTGCCCATCAGCACTACTAGCAGTCAGTCTGTTCTCTGTTAAATATTTTCTGCCTATTTTTCAGGGTGCATAGCTATATAGTATTTTGCAATGAAAATTGTAACGATAAACGGGGGTAATATGTCTTACAGTTGATACAAATGGTTACACAGATGCTGATGTAGCATAATGCATTTTTAAAAACCCATTTTTTTGAGAAAGAGAAATGGATACAAACCATTCCATCCAAAGGGGTTGGAAAAGTACATATAAAATTGCCAATCATTCAACTAAGGAACCAAAGAATAAGACTAATTGATAGAGCCTGCATGAAAAAAAAAACTAGTTTCACTTTCAAACAGATGTAATTTACCTTAAATAATTGTATCTCAATCTCTAAATTGAACTTTAATCACATACAGGAGGCTTTTGCAGGGTCTTGCAAGCTATTAACATAGCAGGGGATAAGAAAATCTTAATTAAACAGAACTTGCAATAAAGAAAGTGTTTATGGAAGGCTGTGCAAGTCACATGCAGGGAGGTGTGACTAGCGTTCATAAACAAAGGGATTTAACTCCTAAATGGCAGAGGATTGAGCAGTGAGGCTGCAGGGGCATGTTCTATACACCAAAACTGCTTCATTAAGCTAAAGTTGTTCAGGTGACTATAGTGTCCCTTTAAATAATCAAGTATATTGATCCATAAGTGATGCTCGGTCATACCCCCTCTTTCTCTTTTAAGTTTTAAAATACATTAAACATACACCAACAGATATTGGTGTGGTTTAAAAAAACAAAAAACACTGACAAAACATTTAAAATGCATTAAATTAAACAGATTAAATAAGACATAAATATGACAGTTCTAAGGGAACAGTAACACGTTGGATAAATAGAAACCGAAAAACAAAAGGAGTGTGTCCACAAAAGGGTATTCATTGATTTAAAATAAGGCAGAGAGAATGGAATTATGTCATCGTTATTTGCGGCACCTGTGTCGACTATGTACCTGCCTGACTGTCAACTTTTAAATAGAGAATATTGAAAAATAAATAAGCCAGAGGGAGTACACAATCAAAGAACAAACTATGAGACATGTCCAGTGTTACCTTAACTTGCAAGACTTCAAGTATTCTTGTCAAGTTGGCTTAAATCCATCGCAGCGAAGTTTTCCATGATGTATACATGGTTTATTTATCTCTGTAATATATCAAAATCTGGACTCTGCTTTTTACATCTTTGAGCCAGCTATTAGAGTTGAGCAAGTCAGCCTCAAGACAGTTTAGGGTCTGGTTTCATGGCCGAACCAAGTAGCCTGCAGAGATTCTTCAATATCGACCCAACAAATAAACACTTTTGGAGCATTCCGTTTAATTAACTGGACCAACTGTTTAATATAGATTCAAGTCTAGCACACCCAGACCACCCTCTAGTTTTGATCTATACACTGATTTTTAGGGAGCTCTGGATTTTTTCCCCAGAACATAAAATGCATTTTCTATTGATATCAACCACTCATTTTGTTCACTAAAAGGCTTCTAAAAAATTGCCTCTCGCCAAGAATGTGTAAGAGGTGCAGATATATTGTTTCTTTGTAATTTTAGTCAGTCAGTGAAAGAACGAATCATTACACCTCACCTTTCCCATTCTTGCCCTACTGCAGCCTTGACTATTCCAGCCCAGAATCTTATGTTGAAAAGTTTAAAAAATGGCTGCAACCTTCTCAAGAGGCTTATTTCTGCTACTGTGGTATTTCAGTCCGGCTCCTGGGTAACATCCAAATTATCTATCTCTACCTCTTTGGTTCTCCTGCTGGGTTCAGACCCTTGTTATCTTTCCTCTGTTCTGCTCATTTCCTCTCCTCTGCTACTGTTTAATACCTCACTTGAACACAGTACAGCAATCCTTCTAAATCTATGTCCTCTACTCTTTGACATATTTTATGTATGTCCTCCCAAATCCTTCATGTTCATTCTATTCACTCTCCCTTACATTTTAAGGTGTATTTTCACCAACTGATGTGTACCACCTTCAGGGTGAGACTGCCCTCTAAGGTCCAGCTGGTGCAGTGCGGCTGAATTAATCTGTATCAAGCATTAATCTCCTGATTAATGTAGGATGTGTTAAACTGGAACCAACATGGAGAGCATTTGGGGAAATACTGCTTTCTTTGTTCTTTGGGCACAAACTATGCATACCAACGCATGCAACTATGCAATCAACAATTTTCATGCACTTCACTATCAACTCTACCCTGGAAGGTGTATTGTTTTGTTTAAGCATCCTCCTTGAATAGGGAATTTGGTCTACAATTATATGGTATTCATTAGACTGTTAAAACCAATCACAGAATATGTAACTGCGACTCTCTGCGATTACTCCCTTACACTTGTCACAAACTTCTCATGTAAATGACGCCGGTTGCTCAGAAAAAGCACTAGTGCTTTATTTACCTGAGGAAGAGATGGAAGCAGGATGCACTATGGGGGAAAAGGCAGGCCGGAGGAGGCAGTGTTATGCTCTGGGCAATGTTCTGTTGGGAAACCTTGGGTCTTGCTATCAATGTGGATGTCACTTTAACGTGTACCTAGAGCTTGTTGCAGACCATGTGCACCCCTTCATGGCAGTGATGTTCCCTAAAGGCAGTGGCCTTTTTCAGCAGGATAATGCACCCTGCCAAACTGCAAAAATGTACAGGAATGGTTTGAGGAACATGACAAAGAGTTCATGGTGTTGCCTTGGCCTCCACGGGAATTTGGAGACTCGTTCTAGTACAGCGGAAGAGAGATCGGAGGAGGAGAGGTATGTTTGGGTGTCATTGAAGGTACTGGTATCTAAAAGAAACAAATGAGGCTAAATGTTTTGTTTGGTTTCTCATTTTCAATGGATTTTAATTGTCCTTTGGGTCAAATTCACCCCTATCCTACGAGTTAAATGTCAGAAATGTGGTATATTAATAAAACATATTTTACTTCGTACTATATTCCCCTGTCACATATAATCACAGATCAGGCCCCAGGGGACAGAGCCAGGCTGCCTGGTGACGGACAGATTGCAGACCATGCGCCACATGAGAAAATCCAGTGACTTTACATATCTGCGCCTGACTACACTTTCCTAATGGAGGAATGCACTAACAGATGAACCGAAAACATGGCTGACAAGGGGGAAAATATTTTAAAACTTGGCTATTTTTTGATACAAAAAAATTGATTTTACTGTGAATCTCCAAAAATTCAATCTCCAACTTTATTTAAAAAAACAAAAAAACCAAACAACCCAAGAAAGCACGGTCAGGCTTTGCATTCCAAACACGGTCAGCCAGCCAGCCCTCACAGACACCAACACAATGGATCCCCAGGGCAGCGGCGACAGCTAGCAATGCGGCCAGCCAGCCAGCCAGCCAGCCAGTGGGAGAGCAGCTGCGCTGACGTCACTCCCACAGTAACAGGCCAGAGCGAGGCTTGCGTCCTGCCTGGCCCCGTCACGCGCCCTCCCCTCGGCCAGTCACTAGACGCGTTCTGTGACAGAGAACGAAACAGCATCTGCAGCCCGGCCGCCATCTTCAAACATACTGTTAGAGGGAAATTAACTCCCACAGTAACCCTGACAGTGAGCAGCATTACAGGAGTGTGTCTGAAATAAAATAGCTGGGTTTTTTTTTCCTCCTCTCTCTAGTGCTTAGTACTCTGGCGGGCGGTGCGGCGCTCGGAATGGAGCTCTCTCTGCGGCCAATCAGCACAGCGAGTGAGTTCTAAAGGCACACTGCGCGAGTCTCCTTCCATTCGGTCACTACAACAGGCGCCATTTTGGTAGAGACCGTTACCTGAGCTGGTTTTCGTGAGCCTTGCAAATGGCCGCCTCCCCCGATTCCTTTTCATTGTAAGCACCGGAGATAGATGATATTATTATTATTTTTTTTTTTTTAAATTCCTGCAAATAGTTGCGCGCTGCCACTCTAGTGTTTGCAGCTCTCTCAAGCAAGCTCACGCGAGGCGGGTTTTCAGATACTAAGTGACAGCTGCCAGCAGCCAATCGGCGGCCAGTCCCTGAGAGGCGCCAGCCAATCGGCGGCTCGGGTGGGCGTGGCTTGCGTTCGAGTCATGTTGTGGTGTTGCTGTCAGAGGGCGGGGCGGCTTGTGGTGCAGTCAGTCAGGCAGGGGAGCGCGGCGCTGGCGGAGGAGGGAGTTACCGGGAGCCCGGTGAGCTGAGCGGGCAGGCTGGGGCTGTGGGGAGCGGGGGGGATAGAGGGCAGCTCGCTGGGCAGCTGGAGACCGCACTAGCTGTCAGTATAGGATCACTGAGAGCAGGGGCTGCTGGGCCTACACTGGGTATGTGACAGGGGCCAGCTGGCAGAGAGAGAGAGAGAGAGAGAGAGAGCAGCTCACACCGAGCCCTGCAGCATACAACCCCCTCCTCCATATAAACAGTATGGCTCTGCTGCTATGAAGAGGCCATGGCTGGGGCCCTGAAGTAGTGCTGGTCATTGGGATATCACCCCTGTAACTGGGGGCTGGTTATTTGGGGGAAACTTGATTTAATATTATTGTTTTTTTGTATTTATTTATTTATTTTTACTTATCTCTGATTGCTGACTTTATTTCTGTGCAGGTGATGAGCTGTTGCATCCAGTTGTGATTAAATTGCAAGCTGTGTGGCCCTGGTTTTGCTCTGAAGTCTAGAATTGCCTGTTATGTAATTACCTTATTGGTGAAGCTGTCTTCTCTGTTTTGCTGCAAAACAGTGCTGCTTCTAACTTGGGGAAACTAAATTGGTATTTCAAAGTTTGGAAGAGTTTCATCTTTATTGATGAAACCCACTCAGGCAGCTGCCTGTAATCTGGTTACTGTATAATTGGCAATGCTAGGAAGAGTCTAATGAAGAGTTCCTTTACGTTTCATTGATATCTATAATTCCATTTAGAGTTGCAGAGTGGGTTGGAGTTTATTTAAAGGGGCATTCTAAGCACCAAAAACATTTTATACTAGTGGTTTGGTGCATGGATGTTGTCCCTTTTCTCTGACAATGTAAAACATTGCTCTTTGTCGAGAAATGTTCGGTAGTGTTTACATTTCGCTTAAAACATGACCTAGTTCCTTAACTTTCATTTTGCCAAGTCTTTTGTGTACACTGTCATCATGGACTTCATGATTATGCTTAGTGTGGCTAATGCTTTCTCTCAATACCTCTGATTGTTTGTGTCAGTTGCTGCACATGTGCCTTAAGTCCATAACACTTATATTTAGAAGCATTGCCTTGATGATGGAGCATTGTTTCTGGAAATGCAACTTGCCCTCTGGGATATAGCTTACTTATTAAGTTTTCTGTTATCTGTCTCTTCTGTATGTATCATGCCAGCCTAGCTTTGTTAAACAAAATAGCTATTGCGTGTACCTCAACATTTTAGGATATTGTGTAACATATTTTGTTACTTTGGTAATGAGGTGCACTGATATAGATATATATAGACACACACACACATATATACTTCCGATCTCTGTATTACCATTCACTTTCAATAAAGGTTGAATGATACTAAGAAATGTTTAAAAGCATTGTGTTTCAACAGAGATCATCATGCTTGGTAATCTCACAGTTGGCTGCAGAAAGAAGACTTTCTTTGCTCTGCATTACTGATACACATTACCAAGCCAGTGATCTAGTTTTAAAAAGGAGCACTCTAATTTTAAAAATGGATAATGTTTGTGTTGTATTACGGTTTTGCAATGGGTTGACAACTTTTTCCCCCCCTAAAATTCCAAACATTTTTCAATGTCCAAAGGGTATATAATCTCTGGTTTATGCTCAGAGATTAGTTCAGTCTGCTTTATTTAAGGTTTTATGTTGGAATATTTTTGTTTTGCTCTAGAAAATGACTACTTTTGCTGTATGTACTTAAATTTTATTGTGATGCTACCGATTTGGGTGTACCGTCAACTATTCCGTAGTTTCTAGATATTTGACACATCATGTACCTATAATTAAAAACATTTGCCATAGAAAAAACACTTTCCTAAATATATGCATCACCAAAGACATATAAAGTTTTTTATTACAAAGCCAGTTTTGACATACTAATTCAAACTTATTTTAGCTCAGTAGAACAGATTAGCCTGTCAAGGTGTTAAGCAGCTTTAATGTTGAATTTTATGTTTTTAGGAAATATTTTTTATTTAATGGTAGATACATTTTGCTGAGGACTTTCCATATACTCCATTGATCTTTGCAACTGTTCTAGGCCTTTGTCATCATCCCTTACATGACACCATTTTTGTCCATTTTCACAAGTCAGACATATGATTCTATAACATTGCTTAGCTCTTGTTTTCTTTCTTTACACAGGGCTTTTGTCTCTTGCTCTGTTCGCTGACTGTAGCCAGGATTTGCCACCTTGCTGGTTGTAATCACACACGGATCTGGTGAAAGGTATGATCAAAGGCTGTATCAGCAAAATCCATTCAGTCCTATACATATGAACAAACACAGAAGTCTTTCTTAACTACCTGTATAAATATTTCCTGGCAACCTCTTATGAGATCAGCATTTATATAATGTCAGCAAAATCTTGATTAAACTGCTTCTCGTAAAATGGTACTTGGTTTCCGGTTGAAAAACATTGTCAAAAAAAGTTTATCCCTCCTGTGGTACCTTGAATTAATTTACTGTTTGCGCTCTGACAAAAGAAAATGTATATGCCATCGGGGAGCAACTATTTTTCTAGATATTTTAATTTCAACCTACTCTCTTTTGAGGGGTATTACCTTTAGATACATATCTCCTCTTCCAATTAACTGAACAGCCAGTTTGATTGAAGTCAAATGCATGATGATGCTGTTTTGTTAAAGGAACAATCAATTGAAAATGATTTTTTTTTTTCCCCTAAAAATTTAGATGATACACCCAGAGGGGGAAAAAGGTTTCTTTGGTGGGTATATGGTAAAAACCAGCTGCATACTTTGCAAGCCCTCCCCTCTTTCCCCCCCCCGCATAAATGTTCAAAGCCAATACATCAGTCAGAGGCTTCTTATAAAGAAACCTCTGTGCTTGAGCCGCAAGGGAGGAGGGGTTTGCACAATCTACAACGGCAGTCCGGTCACTTCTGCTGTCTCTGTGGAGCTAACAAAACCGGAAGAGAACCTCCTTGCTTATCTGACAGCCATTGATATGTTTCTGCCCCCAGTTATAACTGTACCAATTTCTATTGAGATCAGCAGTTTTGTATACTGTAATGAAAATGACAGACTCTAGTCAGATAAAGCGTTTCAGCAAGCTGAAGTGCTTTGTGTGTGGGGTGTTCCTTTAAGACCATAGACCCGTAATAAGTAAACATGTATTAAAATAAGTGAAATTGACTATTCTCTATTCATTTAATAGAAATGTCTTGGCATTTTTAATTATTTATTTTTTTTAACATTTTTTTTTTTTAAATTAAAAATGAACCTGTCAATCATCTGTCAGTAGTGGATCTCAGTCTGCTTCATGTAGGAACACACATTTATACACTGTGCTACTGAAATTGCTAGCAAATTGATAAATGAAAAGATATACTGACTTGACGGTTTGTCTATTGCAAAAAAAACGATACAGCAGCGGATGTGTGCTGATTGTACTAATCATTTTGCCATTTATGCAGTGTTTGGATTACAACAAAGCCTTATGCACACCCACATTGAGTAAATGGATATGGTTGCTTACAACTCTTCCCCCAGGCATATTTTCTTGGGTTTGTTTACTTATCTCCAAACTGTAGCAAGTGAAAAAACAAATTGTATAAATGATTAATATTGAGAAAAAGATTCTCCAATTGCTATGAATTTAACTAGTAAAATGTGCAGATTAAATGTGTTCTACTTAATTTTTGCATGAGTGGTACAATTGAGAGTTACATCTAAATATACCGTTCTGCCTACCGTTTTCAATCAAAAGTAATACTCCAGGAATCTGTAACTTTTGTCATGTGTGCAGAGTTTAGAAAGCTTGTGAGACTTTAGTTAATTCTAATCCTTCCACTGATTGATTTTTAGGGAGGGCACAACATAGTTACACTAAATGTATCCCTTAAATTCCCATTTATCAGGGGTCTCTTGTGTACAAAATAGAATGAGAACGTGTATTGTTTGTTTTTAAATTAAAAAATAAATAACAGATCATTTTCCTTGATGCTTTCCGACTCTAAAGGCTGAGTAAGAATATTTTCAGTCTTATGTCTACTCAACAACATCAACTACCTTTTTGACCTGGCCTAGAATGGCAAAAATATGCAATTGAAAATGACCTTAAAGTGTCCATTTTAAGCGTTTTTTAAAGAATGTACTAAAAACCAAAGAAACTACATTGCAGAAAAAAGTATAGCACTCAATACCTAAAAGGGGAACCAAGGAATCTCTGTACCACTGGGACAATATGTTTACCACAAACTATTTGTATGCGTTTTATTCTAGTCCCTTAAGGGCACGTCTAATGTCACGATCCAGGGAAACAAAAATGGCACTTTAGTTGATGCATGAAGTTACAGTTAGGAAGTGATAGATCTGTAACAGGTTATAACCTAAACCTTTTAAAAAGAGACTAAAGAGAGAGAATAGAAACAGAGTATCAACTGTCTTACACTCATGAAGTGATAAATGTGTAAAGGTGTGTCTAATGTTAGCCCACATTGCATGTAGTAGTATTTAATTGCATAACAGGGCTAAAATCTAGTGGACACTGTCAAAATTAGGTTATTTGTGCAACTTGGTACCTCAATTTGATAAAGTTACATTGCCCACTAAAAGGAAATACTATAGCGCTGTTTACAATATTCTATGACAGAGGTAGGATACCTTCAGCGCTTCAGATGTGGGCTACTTCTCCCATAATGCTGGCATACATCAGGGACGATAGTGCCAAAGGTTGCCTTCCCTAGGAGCAGCAAAATATGGCTAAGAAATCCTTATGCTTGGCATAGTTTATATACAGCATTGAGAGGCTAAGACATTCCCTCTGTATCTGCTGGCTATCATTCACCCGACTTCACAAGTATGCCATGTTAACTAGAGTAAAACCTATATATCACCTCTCAAGGAGTCTACATGTATGATCACTACGGAAAGCTCATCAAAGCATCAATACATTGGCTCATACAAGCCTACCTCATCATGCTTATTGTAGTCTATTCACAGCCCTCACTAAAAGTGAATTGCCCTACTGTGCTCCATGAAAACCAGGATACATCAAACACTCAAAATGACCCAATGGGACATTATAGTTACCAGAAATACTACAGTTTAATGTAGTGGAGCTGGTGTCTATATCCTGTCCAGGCACACTTTTCAATGTAAACTTTGCCACCTAATGCTTTACCATGGGAAAGCCTTGGTGTGACTGAGACCATAGAGATTGATTCTCAGCAATGGAGGCGAGACAGACACGGTATGGGTGAAAAAAAGGTAAAAACACCTTTCCCGAAACGGTCACCCAGATAGAGACACACATATTTTATTTTTTTTTTATTTTTTTTTATGTAAGTCCCCACCTATGGGAGAGTTGGGTCCAGTGCAGCTGCTAAATCCTGTATCTTAAAGCTATTCTTGCTCTGTCCTTCGTGCGCTGCTTAATGTTGCGATGCCGGAGTGATGTCATTTTCCCGCATTACACGCGATGGAGCAGAAAAGGATGGAAGATTACTGCTCTCTTGCGCACCCGTCTACATGCTCTGTGGGCCAGCCGCCTTCACTGAACAGGCTGACATCTCAGACGCCAGGACAAAATACCTAGTCACCATGGCAACTAGGAATTTTTTTTATTTCTTTAAATCCTCCCCTCGCTCCCCTTTCACTTGTTCAGCTGAGAGTGCATGCATGTCCTCTGAACTGGCTAAACAGTACAATTGCATGCTTCTCTGAGAGGCCTGTGATAGGACTGCACAAGCTCCCTGCTGACGTCAGTGGAGGGAGATCAACACCTGGAGCTTTGCCTGGTGCTGGATTACAGTTAAGATAAACTCCATCTTTTTAAACTTCAAGGGGATCATCTATTAGTTGTGCCCAATAGGGCATTCTGTTAAAGGTCCTTTCGTTGGTCATCTGTAGAAGTATGACATGAACATATCATATATTTACTCAGCTATATGGATAATTGTCATGCAATACCTTCCAAATTTGTTAAACATTCCATTCTTTAGAATTCAACATTGAAATGTGAAAACCAACAGCGGTTTCCCTCTGACTTCACTCATAATGCCCACCTCACTTCTCACCTGGGATGTTGTCATACGTAAAAAGAATTAGGGATAAGTAAAAAATGGAAAAACATATTAATTGAAGAACGAGTCACAAATATTTTACCATGCTCAAATCTTTTTGTTTTTCTTTGTTTTGCATCTCAATTCTGGACAGTTGATAATGTATTGAAGTAACTTCCATGATGTTTCTATTTTTGCAGACCACACCTGCGTGTGATTCCGCACCATTTTGCACACCATTTTTCTTTCCCATGCAGACGAATGAGGGAGAAACACTTGAAGAAAGCTGTCCCAAGGTCAGTGGCTTTTAAAAATAATTGTGGCATGTGGCTCAAATAATATGGTTTGTCTTTTCTTGGCAGTAAATTATGCAAACATCATCTTTTATGAAGAAAAGTTCTATTTGAATAATTTATATTTATAACTTAAAGGGACACTCTAAAAACCATTACAATCACATCATGCTGTAGCATCATGTTGCCATGATTCCCCTGGATACAATACAGTATGTGTTGAATTGTTTACATGTGGTTTGATCCTTACCTAGCTGTGTTGGGTGCCCGCCGTGCATTGTCGGAGGTGATATGGTTAAGTGGTTTTTCATACCTCTGTATACTAACTAATGCCATATTTGGACAATGCTGTCTAAACCTGGTATGGTAAACTTAGAAAGTGCACTGATCGCATGGCATCATAACCACTATATCAAGTGCATATAATAAATAGGCTGCCGTGGATCCTTTTTGTTATTAGGCATTTAGCAAATATATAGATGTTATTCATTTTACGGCTACTTAACTTGGCCAATTCTAGGTAATGGCAATGCGGCTGCTGCACTGATGTTATTAGATGTATACACCTGACCCATCGTCCATTGCAAGCTGTCCCATAAGACACTGTTTGGTGCTGCTTACTATGCAGGTCACTGCTGTTGTATGTGTATATCCTTACTCGATGTATTCAATCAGCCAGGGTTAGAGATCAATGGGCAGAGATTCTCCCTCTTCCTACCTGCCTGATGGTTCTATTAACTGTAGCAGTTCACAAAAAGTGATTGCAGTTTTAAGCCTATACACTTCATGACATTTGTCACAGAATAGAATAGTGTTTTCTCCACTTTCCTTTGCCTGCCCAAATATTTGTATTGGTGCCTACAAATGCCCACTGCTCTATTGGGATTTCCTTATTTGGGTTAACTAGCGTGTACACACGTAATGACTGCTCAGAAAAATGAATTGCTGCCACGTGTTTATGGAATTTGCTTAGGTCCTAGAATATAATGGGAAAGCGTTTATTCACTGAGCCACTTTCTGTAACGGGCCAACTCTTTGCAGGTACTGTAGCGCTTGGACTTTTACAGGACTATATATCCTGAAGTGCCTATTCATCTAGTTGAAAATAAATTACGATTTGTGTAGGATTTGTGAATTGCCATGTTCTCTTCATGATACCATTAAAATGTATGTATACATAATGTGCATTAATAAGCTTGCTGAAACATATGTTTGTTTTTTTATGCCCTATTTAACACAAGTTATTAATAGCTGATTGCACGGCTTGTTAAATATGACACATTTGTTGTACTGGAGCAAATCTGACGATGTAATATATAATTATGTCAAAATTGCTTTTACTTTCTGCATCTGTGATTTGAGATATAATGTTGGAAAAGACCCCCAATTATGGAATGATACTGATGATGAGTGTGTGTTTTGAGGCTGCTGCACTTGCACCGTGCAACTCAAACATGACTTGTGGGTGGGTAGTAGTAAAAAAAAAAAAAAAAAAAATATTGGTCATATTGCTTTGGTGACTTTGAGTTGTGTGGATTATGACACCGTAACGAAGAAACTTTTTGCAGTGTAACCTGTTATGGTTATATTTTTCCTTTTAAAGCAAAAGTAAAATGGACCTCTCTGATACCAAGAGAACAAGCTCATTTGGCATTAGAGTCCTACTGTATTTTTCTCTAGATTTAAGGATCACTATAGGGTCAGAAACACAAACATGTATTCCTGACCCTATAGTGTTAAACCCACCATCTAGCCCCTCATGCCTCCATAAATATAGCAAAATCTTACTGTATTCAAGCATTGAATCTGTAGTTCTGCATGCTGTTTGCCTCAGGAAAAAAAACGTAGTCTTCTGACATCAAGAGTGGTAGCCTGATCCAATCACAATGCTTCCCTATAGGATTGACTGAGACTGACAAAAAGGCAGATCAGGGGCAGAGCCAGCACGATTCAAACACAGCCCCGGCCAATCAGCATCTCCTCATAGAGATGAATTGAATCAATGAATCTCTGAGGAAAGTTCAGTGTCTGCATGCAGAGGGAGGAGACACTGAATGTTTGGATGCATTTTAGGCAGCCATGACCCAGGAAGGATCTGTAACAGCCATCTGAGGAGTGGCCAATGAAGTTATCACTAGGCTGTAATGTAAACACTGCATTTTCTCTGAAAAGACAGTGTTTACAGCAAAAATCCTGAAGGTAATGATACTACTCACCAGAACAAATTCAATAAGCTGTAGTTGTACTGGTGACTATAATGTCCCTTTAAATCTATACAGTTTTTATAGTGTTTATTTTTTTTTTCTCCCTCTTCTTCCCTGAGAAATGTATTTACCTCTGTCAGAGTGAGTAATTTTCTAAAATCAGGTATATGACTTTTACGTTGTTGCATTTTGTTTAAAGGGGGCATACCAACTCTTTCCTGACCCTCTTTTCACTTGCTGCAATGTAATTACATAGGTAGGTGTTAAACTTCTGTAAAACCTACCTCTGGTCTGCCCTCGCTCCTCCCACAGACTTCACTTCATTTTACCTTGCCTGGAACTTGTTTGATGACTCTTCTGCCTCCCTGTCAACCAATTTCATGCCAAAAAGATTTGATCGGTGGGAGACTTTTTTTTTTTTCTTCTTTTCTCGCAATCTATAAATTTGTGGTAGCATACATACATATATATTTATATATATTTAAAGAGTCACTATAGTCTCTAAAACAACTTTAGCTTAATGAAGCTGTTTTGGTGTATGGATTATGCCCCTTCAGTCTCACGGTTTCGTTTCTCTGCCATTTTGGCATTAAATCACTTTGTTTTTGCGGCTCTAGTCTTCTCTCCTTGCGTGTGACTTACACAGCCTTCCTAAGCACTTACTATAAAGAGAGAACGAATGTTCAAACCTTCTTTATTGCAATTTTATGTTTAAGAATTTTATTGCCTGCTCTGTTAAAAGCTTGCTAGACCCTGCAGGAACCTCCTGTATTTAATAAACGTTCCATTTACAGAGCAGGAGATACTTTTAAAGAAAGTTACATCTGATTGAACATGGAACCATTTTGTTTTCATGCAGGCTTTGAGAGTCATAGCCAAGGGAGGTGTGGTTAGAGTTGCATAAATGGAAACAAAATTATTTAACTCCTAAATGGCAGTGGGATGAGTAGTGAAACTTCAGAGGCATGATCTATACACCACAACTGCTTCATTAATCTACAGTTGTTTTGGTGACTAGTGTCCCAAAGTGTAGTGCAAAAGTAGTTTTGGATATGACAGGTGCCTTTTAAGGAATTCAAAATAAATCAATATTAAATGCTGTTTGCTATTGCTAACTTTCCCCTATGTGTTTTTAATTTATCTCCCTCTGCAGCACAGTCTGAACTGTCGGAGTGTGCTTCTAACCTTGGCTATATAACTGTTGTAGCAAGGTTAATTTATAAAAGTGCCAATTTCAAGTGATATCTGCACCTATTGTAAATGTAAAATGAGGGAGGGTGCTCTGTTCACACATAAAGTGTCCATTTAAGCAGAAATTTAATTATACATTGCAAACACATGATGTGTTTGTGAGACACTATGTGACAATGTTAAACATGTAGATTACTGTCAGTGAGAATGTTTTATATGGAATTGGTTGTAGACTGTAACTAAGGTCTTTGCACCAGTTTTATATTAAAGCAAAGCTCACACTAAATCATCAGTCGCTTTTATACAGCTCATGCTTTCAACCTGGTCTGAGATGGAGTAAAGCACCGTGTAGAACTATTTCATTTTTCAATCTGCAGGAAAGTTATTAAAGTTCAAATAGAAGTTGTTTTACATTAACAAGTTTGAATATTTTAATACATTGGTACCTACATCTATTGGAACTTATTATTGCAACGTTCCACATGAAATTTGTTCCCCTCACTAGCTTTCTAATTACACTATAAAATCCTACACAAAACACAACATAACAGAATACAGTTGGGACAAAAGCAGAGGTCATGTTTAAAGGACCACTCCACACCTGTAAAGGACTCCAGCTTTATGGGGGAGGAGTGTCCCATTTTATTCCAGTTTATAAAAGTTCTCTGTTTCAATTAGAAATTGGCACTTTATAATTTAAATTACAAAACTTTACTGAGCTAATGGAAGTTGCAAACGTGCTGTGCGCGTGCCTGCCTTCTACTCCATTCTCCTCACAGACCTCACATTAGAGAGCATTCTTCCAGAACGCTGTTGCAGTGTGCGCACAGGCAGATAAACATGTGCACTGAGGGACAGATTCAGAGGCTTCACAATAAGATGCCTCTGGTTATTTGCCCGTTAAGAGACTAAAAGTATTTTGTGCAGGAAGGAGGGGGGTGGGGGGGGAAGGGGGGGAGCTTGAAAAAGGCTACAGTTAGATCTACTAAATATGGATTTTTATTTTTTTCTCCTCCTATTTTTGGAGTGAAGTGTTCCTTTAAGTGATACTTAACTCTTAAATCCATGCACTTTGCTTTTTGGTATTCAAATAAGTGTCTCTCTCTTTCATGTAACTCACCTAGAGTGCAATTTTGAAGTGCAGTTTACAGATGAGTCAATCCAAGCCAAATAAATCGGAACACTGGCTACTAATTGCAAAATGTCATACTACTAGATGAGATCTAATCCCTGTGCCCCTCCAACACAAAAGTAAGAACAGTGCCAGGGGAAATCAGACACTATTGGCACTTGAATTAGATGAAGCAGGTATGGTGCCTACAGTGTCCATCTAACAATATCTACTACAGATTTTTAGAGATATTTAGACAGCTATTTGAAATAACACCATGCACTGTTTGTGTATGTCTATGTTTACATGAATTCTATCTAGAATTTATTGTATGCTTTTTATCATGCTGGTAACTCCATTATCTATATGCTAGTGGTAATGCATTTAAAGGAACACTAAGGTGTACAAGCATGAATTTCTAACACTTTAGTGTTCCTTTCCATATTTTAAAACTGTCTACTTCCTCCGTTTTTGTCATATAATAAATCATTTTACATTTCCCTCGGCGCTGCTTATCTGTGCACCTCCTGCGATCTTACAGAGTAGACATGACCTTGAGCACCAATACCCAATGTTCCTTGGAGTGGAGTGTTGGGGACCCAATGAACTTGCGCAGCTGCTGATGCACCATAGGAATGCATTGAATCAATGTTTTCATGTGGGTGCTTCCACTATCACATGGCCAAGTTTTACTCTGAGTGTCATGGAAGCGGCTGTAGAGGAGGATTTCACACTGCAATGTAACCATAGCAGTTCCTTAAAAATATCACTGCTTTACATTAGGGATTGACAGATTATCGGTCTGGCCGATATTCGGTATTTTCGGCAATATTGGTATTGGCCAATAAAGATACCGATATTGCCGATAATACATACCAGGACCGCCAGGCGCGTGACTAGCCCGGCGGTCCTGGGGGCCAAGCAAGCTCTTATTTGTGCTCCCTTCAGCTCCCCTGTGTAAATCTTGCGAGATTTACACAGGGTTGCTGAAGGGAGCTGCTGGGAAGGTAAGTAAGCGCTTGCTTGGCCCCCTCTGCTCAGTCCATGCCACCAGACCACCAGGGAGTGCTATATCACCCCTCCCTGGCCAGATAACAAGCAGGGAGGGGGGACAATTTTTTTTTTTTTTTAAATATATAGATATATAAAGGCCCCCCTTCCACCCCCATTTTACACAAATTACATACCTACAGAAACACACACACTCTGCATTATATACTCAAACACACTGCATTCATTTTATATATACACACTACACACACTGCATTCACTATACACACACTACACAAACACTCTGCATTATATACACACACACACACACACACACACTATACACGCACTGCATTCACTTTATGCACACTACACACACTGCATTCCCTTTACGCACACTACACAAACACATTCTGCATTCATTATATACACACTGCATTCATGTCAATCGATTCCCTACTTTACATTGCAAGGTAACAATGACAGGACCACTGCACTTAGGCCACTTCATTGATAATCCCATAACATTGTTTTTTTAAGTATCCGTTGCTTTAAACCTTTATTTTAGTGAAGTTGTCACTACTGATGCTTAGTTGGTAATCTAAGTACCTGGATTGTCTGCTATGTGTTTTTATTCCCCTCCATTATGTTTGGGTATATCATGTTAAAGGACCATATTAAAACACATTCGTTTTCCTGGCACTATAGTGCCCTGAGGGTGCCCCCACCCTCAGGGTCCCCCCTTCCGATCCCCCCTTCTCTGAAACTGCTATGTTTATAAAAAGAAAAGGGGTTAACCCTAGCTGGACCTAGCATCTAGACCACTTCATTAAGCTGAAGTGGTCTGGGTGCCTATAGTGGTCCTTTAAAGGGTTTGCTACCTATGTTTTTGTTGTCAGTAATTCCTGCCTTATGTTTCTGTCTTTTATCTGAAGACAAATTACAACACTGAGATAATAAAGATATGTAATCTATGTCCAGTTCAAAGTTTTTTGTTTCATATTCTGTCTCTGATATGGCTGGGTCACTCAACGAGCCCATTTGGTGGAATAAAATGCTGTTTTCATTATGACTTGTAGGTATACCTGATGTATGAAAAATCATATTATTAAAGTTAAAGGGACACTATAGACACAAAGACGTCTTCCTCTAAAGTGGTCTGTATACTGTGTCACTGTAACTTTTATCCTGCAATTTAAAATGTTGCTTTTCTGGAGATAAGACTGTTTATATTGTAGAACTAAACACACCCAGAGTGGAGGCAAGCTCCGTTCTATGACATTCGACAACCTTTCATGAGGATGTTGAACTTCCCATCTGCACAATGTCTGTAGCTCCAGTGCTTTTCATAGAGAAGCATTGCATTCATTGCTTTGTGTGGATATGAGTCAACCTGCAGGAAGAAGAGATGGGAAGAGGAGCAGGCTGCATGCAATGTCTCTGAGCTGGGGATTATCGTGCAGTATTTGTAATACAAGTTTGGTGGAAGAAATCAGGAAATGCATTTACAGGTGTTAAAGTTGCTCTAGTTAAATGTGCCTAGGTTGCCTAGGGATATTTGGTGTGGTTTTGTTTTAATACATTTTTTTTTTAAATTATTTCTAATTTTTAAATCTGATGCGAAGTGCACCAAGGGGTAAATGAAACGAACAGAAAAGAATCCAAATCTAGTGCAGTATGTTATGATATTGATGTAGAGTAGAAGCAAATTTAATTGAGTCACAATTTGTGGAACCTCTAACTGGCTCTTAGAAAGCAGGTGGAAGGGAGTCCTCGTAGTGTATTATGTGCATAAAAACAGAAATGAAAAATATTGTGCTAACTGTATGAGACTAACTTAAAAGAATTGGGTATGTACTCACTGCTTGGGAGCACAATACAGGTTTTGCTCAGTCCACAGGGCTCAGGTGGTATGTTCCCCACCAAAGGAATAGGTATTCAGACTCCAGAGAAAAAGGTAAGTCCAGGAATGAGAGAGCGATAAATATCTCTTTCTCAACTGATTCGTTTCACCTTCAAGGCTTTCTCAAAATGCTTCTTATGGACACTTTATATAAAGGGAGCACATGTTTGACATTTTATTATAGCCATCTAACCTAAAATCCAATTAATCATAATACACATTAAAACACATTTTAACTTTAATGTTCATGAAATGTGGGGGTATAGGACTCATTGACCTAATACAAAGTTTATTTAACTAAAAATATGCCTAGATGGGAAAATTAGAAAACCCAAGATGGGCCAAGGTCACGTGTTTGGCAGGGCTCCGATCTTGGTGTGTATAAAATGTAAAATAAACAAGGTGGGGATTGGTGTGTTTTTTTTTTTCTTTTTTTTAATATATATATATATATATATATATATATATATATATATATATATATATTTTATTTTTAATTTTTTATGCTGCAAGTAGGGGTATGTCTACTAAACAGTGAGCTGCCAGTTGCTCTGTTGAGGGAACCCCCCAATAAACATGGAGCCACCTCATTGTGTGGCAGTTATTCAGATAATTAACAGGGGAGGACAGTGTGTCGTCCTCCCCCGTGCCCCCTTTAGTGGCGAGTTGGGGCCCCAAATGATAATGGGATGAGGACCTATTTCCCCCACATGCTGGCAACTGCTGGGGAGAGGGGAAGGTCAATACTGGGAAGGGGACCTGTTGTCTCCACCCATTGGGTGCAGATGGGGGCTAATTGTAAAAATAATCCCCCCTCTCCCAGTGACTAGGGATCCCCTAGTCACCCCACTATAAACAAATACCCTATCTACCCTCCTCACCCTAATAATAGTGAAGGGGTAACAAAAAAATCTAATGAATAGTTACCATTAGATGTCATTTTTTGTTGTTTTGTTTTTGTTTTCCAAAAAAGGCAAATTAAGACATAAAGTTGCGTTGAACTGTTAAAATAAAGTCCAGATGGAAAACAATATTCCATATTCACTCGGCACGGGCTCCCTGCAGACTGAGCTTACTGGGTCGGGAACCCTTCCCACAACATGCAAGTTAGCTCAGAGCGCTCCGGTTGAAATGGAGGACCTAGAGGCATTTGTGGGTGACTTAACTGATGTAGCTATGGCAGTGCCGCTATAAGGGAGTATCTTTTCTTAACGTGTATTTTATTGCCAAACCTAATTCTCCAGATTTTGGTGAGCTACACCTCCCATTTTTCTTTTCCAGCCATTAAAGGGGCCCAGCAAGTACCATAATCACAATGGCATGCCAGAAGCCAACTGGTATCTTCGCACTATGAAGAAACAAAACAGTTTCCAGAGTTTTGACACTTGGCTTAATTCCCAGGTGCATACAGCCCTGCTCGTCTAAACAAAAAAAGTTAGTTTCTAGTTTTTCTTTGTTGAAATCCATTCTATCTGAAGATGGAAGCGATGGAGATCCAGCAGATAGTAGGAATGTTCTATTGTTTTATAGTGATTGCGTCACATGTAACAATTTCATAAATGCAGATTGTTGTGAACTCATGTTCTAGAAATGTTGTCAGATCAGATGCTGCAGTGCGTGTCCACAAAAAGCAAACTCAATATATCAGTATTCAAAAAGTAACACTAATCCTAGCTAGAACAAGCTGATGTGAGTGTATTCCTTTCAAACGTAAAATGGATTAAAGCCAAATGGGCATCCAGTAGAAAAAAATTATTTGTATAGTTATCAAGATTAAGATGAATATAAACTTAGTGTACATTTTGTGTTTTTTGTGTGTGGATAGCTTGTAGGAAAGACAAGACAGGGGGGGATATGATATTTAAATACATAAAGGGAATCAACAGAGTAAAGGAGACTATATTTAAAAGAAGAAACTACCACAACAAGAGGACATAGTCTTAAATTAGAGGGGAAAAGGTTTAGAAATAATATCAGGAAGTATTGATTTACTGAGAGGGTAGTTGATGCATGGAATAGCCTTCCAGCTGATGTGGTAGAAGTTAGCACAGTAAAGGAGTTTAAGCATGCGTGGGATAGGCATAAAGCTATCCTAGATATAAGATAAGGCCAGGGGCTAATGAAAGTATATAGAAAATTGTGCAGAGTAGATGGGCATCTTATTTATGTTCCTCTCCTTGTGGAAAACAATTGAGATATAAAGAACATGGATTTGAGTCCTTGCTATGGTATCAAAGGGAAAAAACCCTCTATGAATAATTGTCAATAGAAGATACTGCAATTTTTTTTTTTTTTTTTTTAAAAACTCTTTTTATTGTGAATGAATGATGCAAAACAGCTTGAAAGCAGTCATGGATCTTTGACAGTTGTAAAGTGATATTCAATTAGTTACATTCACTATTTTGTAGTTTCCTCAACATAGACAAAACAGAACAAAATACGATTTACAAAACCAAATAGGTCATTGTTAATAAGTAAGAGGTTGAGCTGTAACATTATACTACAAACATTTGATCACCATCTGTAAAGTTATAGGTACTTTGCTTTCTGGGATTTTTCCAGCCCTGGCTTTTTTATTTTATTTTTTTTGTTACAGGGAATAACAGAATAAAGTGCGTTGGTATACCACCTCTGTCACACACTTTGTGTTTGTCATATAGGTATAACTACAGAAGCAAAGTTTTACTGCTTACTCTGTATCAATATTGTTCAGCAGTGTGTACATGTAGCAGCCCTCTAGTACAAGTAAGACACAGGCTGTACCAATTCACCGTGGTATGATCTAAATAATTTATTTTTTGTGTGTTCAATTTTCAGTTCCAATGTGCAGTGATACAGTTGGTTGATATAAATTGAGATAATGAGGCATATGACATAATTACATATATTCTTAACATTGTGTGCCTTGAGAACTGCACATTAGCTCTTTATATTTTAAGATATGGTAACATAACAGGTGGGGGGGGATGGGGAATGGGTGGGGAATTAGGGTAGGGAGGGTGAGAAGAACATGCCATCTCACGCAAATTTGTTTGGTTCGCTTATATTATACACATACACAGGCATTGATATGACCACAGCTGTCGGAGTTGACTTAGCACCTCACTGGAGAAAGGTGATTGCTGCTTTGTTGCCAGTAGGCATGATGATGAGCTTCCCTCGGAGAGGTCTGAGGGGCCAAGGATGCTTAAGTTGATGGTGGTTTGCCTATGTTGTTCTTAAAAAGGCATGTTGTCCATAATGATGCTATAAATGGTTTTGTGGGTAGGTGCTTGCCATTGTTTCATGTCGCCTAGTTAGCTCTAACGTGTTGATACATTGGGTCTGTGTTGGTGGACCTGGATTGCACCATAGTCTGCTAATAGTTGTTAGGGCTGCCACAAGGATGTGGTAAATTAGGTATATATGAGCTTTGGCTAGACCTTTTGGAAAAAGTGTTGTAGGTATGTTTCTGGAAATTTGGGTAGGCGTATTCCCAAGCATTCGTGGATAATCCGCTCTATACCTGACCAGAAGTGTGTTAATTTGGGGCAGGACCACCAAATGTGTCATCGTCCCTTTGTCTGCGAGACAGTGCCAGCATGCATCCTATAGGTTCGGATTTCCTTGTTCGAGTCGCACTGGCACCATATACAATCGGTACAACATTTTTCATGTAATCTCCATATGGGAGGTACACAGTGATACATTTTTGTGCGCTCTGAGTATCTGGGTCCATTGGCTCTCTGAGAGGGAGATGCCTAGTTCTAGCTCCCAAGCCTTGACAAAGGTGAAGGACTGGAGATTGGTTATGGCGCAATCTTTGGCGTATAGGATGGAGATCAATTTTCTGGCCGGTTGTAGTCTGAGACAGATCTTTTCCACCTCCGTTAGCTGCAGACCATTTACAGTATTGTATGATATTACATGTTGCTTTTTTAACTACAACAATAGTTGCACATATAAAAATGTTGCGGTAATAGGCAGCCCATGTTGTGTTTTCAAAGTGGGCCCTTGAAAAATATGGTATAGATGTGTAATATGATGTTTGTAGTTGAAGTCGGGTATAAGGGAGTGTATAGCCTCCAGGGGTAGAGCTAGGGAGGTGCCTTCGTGTAACTTGTGTGTCCCTGAATTTGTCCCATATCTGTAGTGTAAGTTTGGTCGTATTCCCTTATGTTTAGGTCTCAACTTCCGAGACATCCATGCGAGATGTCATTAGTGTATATCGATTCAATTTGGACCCATTGTGGGGTCTGAGGTGGCTGTTGGCTGATAGTATTGGGCTAATGATTGCCGCATTATAGTAACTCGCAATGTCTGGTAGACCCATGCCCCCTTGTGGAAATGGCTTGTAGAGGGTGGACCTTGCAATTCGAGGTCTGGAATTATTCCAGATGAAGAAATTTACATATCCCTGCGCCTTGCGTAAATAGCGGTTGGAGATCGCGAATGGTATGGTTCGAAATAAATATATTTTAATTTCGGGAAGAGTAGCATTTTCATTGCCGCCATCCTGCCTACCCAAGAGATGAATTTCTCTTTCCAGCTGTGTATTTGGGTTTTCAGGTCATTGAGCAGTGGTTGGTAATTGTAGAGGCCTGATAGATGCTGTGTCAAGGCTATCCCCCAAAATTTGAGTTTGTGCGCCATTTATACGCAAATGCCTCTTTTAGGTGAATTAATGTGTGCTTCGGGATGTTAATGCCCATCGCTTGTGTCTGTTATATTCAATTTATAGTAGTAACATTTGCTATATTGCTGGATAAGATTGTGTAGTGTAGGTAAGGAAATGTGTGGTTTTTGCAGCGTGAGAAGGTTGATGGGGTTAGTTTATGTTCTCTATCTTTGACCTTAATTCCATGAATGTTGGGGTTATCTCTAATTGGGTTAGAGGTTCCAGAGCTAAGATGTACAATATGGGGGAGAGGGGAAAGCCCTGTCTTGAGCCATTGGAGATAGCAAATCCTCCGTTTAGTACTTGAGCTGATGGGTGGGAGTACAGAGCGGATATTAGAGATATGAACCGTGGGGGGTATCCAAACTTCCCCAGACCTGCGAGGAGGAAGGGCCAATTGAGCCTATCGAAGGCTTTTTCAGCGTCCTGCGAAAGCAACCCTAGGTGTCCATTCCCCCCACAGCCCACCCAACAAGTCCAGGACTTTTCTTGTGCCGTCTGCCCCCTGGCGACCGCTGACAAGTCCCATCTGGTCTGCGTGTAAAATTGTAGGGATAATCTGTGACAGCCTGTTGTCATAGATTTTGGCAAGTAATTTGGTGTCCATGTTGAGTAGAGATATCGGGCGTAGTTTTTGGCTTTGGTTGGGTGGCTTCCCCGATTTGGGAAGAGTGGCTACATGCGCCACGAGCATCTCTTGTGGCATGTCACCTGTACTTATAATGTGATTGTATACTGGTTCTAATCGTGGGGCCAGGATGTGGGAAAATAGCTTGTAATAGTAGTTGGTGAGGCCATCCGGCCCAGGGGATTTTCCCGATGGCAGGAATGATATGGTTTGTGAGATTTCCTGGCTTGTCACTCGTGCTTGTAGCATCTCTTTTTTTTGTAGGGACAGGGACGGCAACGTGGTGAGGTGTAAGAAGTTGCTAATCTGCCTCAGTGGGGTGGTGTATTGTGCTTTCCTGTTTTAAGTTGTATAATTTATGGTAGAAAGAGGCCATTTCGTTGTTTGTCTTGGGGGTTGTACATTTTTTTTTGTTCGAATACAAAAGTAGGTATGGTATTTTGGATTGTGCTTGTTTTTTTTTTTTTTCTTCAGCATTGTGGCTAGCTCCTTCCCTGCCTTGTTGCCCTGGGAGTAGTGTCGCATTTTGAGCCGTTGAAGTGTGTAAGCGGTTTTGGCTAGATGTATGTCATTTATGCGTTTGGTGACAGTCTCTGTTTTTTAGATGTGTATCCTCTAATTGTATAGTATGTACATTTGTGGCGTTCCGTAGGGTGCGTAGCAGATCGATGTGTTCTTAGTTAGACTTGCGCTTCATGTATGAGGCCTGGCTGTTCAGCAGGCCTCTGGTTGGTTTATGGGCCTGCCAGAGGGAGATAGATGTTTCTGGGAGATCATTGAGTTGGAAGTATTGCTCTAAGTTTTGCATCATATGTGTGAGGAACTTAGGGTCTTGCAGGAGAGATTTGTTTAGGTGCCACGGTGCCTGTCCTCTATGTGAAAATGGGCCTCTAAGATTCAGTTTAAGTGGCACGTGGTCGGACCTCACAATGTCTCCAATTGAGCACTGGGTGATTCTCGGGAGTAAGGGGCCTGACACCATAATGCGATCTAGTCTGGAGAACGACTTGTGTACACTTAAGTAGAAAGTTAATTCCCTTCCTGTGGGGTGAAGCGTTCTCCAGGCATCGTAGACCTTGTGTTTGGACATGAGTTTGAATAGGGCTCTGCTTTGCGTTCGGGTTGCAGTGTGTCTAGGATATGGATCAGCTGGGTTGTGTCTGTGTGTGTGTCTAGTACGTGGTTTAGGTCTCCACATATAAGTTCTCCTGTGTTTGGCAAGAACTTTTGTGTAGGAAATTTCTTTGGTTGGTATTGGGGCTGTAGATCCCTACTAGAGTGTATTCGGCTTCATTTATCATGCAATGCATGATGATAAACCTCCCTTGAGTGTCTTTCTGAATGTGTAACATTTCAAATGTCAGTGAGTGGTGTATTAGGAGTGCGACTCTCTTTGCTTTTGACTGGGTTGCATGGAATTGGGTCAGGTTGTTGTGCAGGCCAAACTTTCGGAACCCTGTTGGTGACGAAATGTGTTTCTTGGATACAGAGTATGTCAATCTTTTCCTGTCTCGCTGCCTCCAAGAGGATGCAGCGCTTATGTGGGTGGTTCAATCCCTGTGTGTTGTGTGATTGTATTTTCATAGTCTGGAGTGTGAAAGGTGGTGCTGGATAAGAAAGTTTGTGGCCCCTGAGAGCGTTTGCCGATTTGTTTGGTGGTCATGGTTGTTTGTGAGAGCGTGAGAAGTATGTGTGAGCATAGTTCTTACGGCAAGGGTGAGGAAGAGGATGGAATGAAACGAAGGGATGAAAAATTGGGTGGGGTGAACAAGTGTTCCTCTCACGAGAACATGGTGTGGGGATCCCAGACCATGGGGGTAGGAGAAAAGGAGGTATGCCATGATATGGCTGTTGAGCTCTAAAGGTAACTTACGTTTAGGCATGTGGTTTATGTTCTGCTACCTTGGGAAACGCAAGATCCTAGCTCATAGGCATAGAAATTGGCAGGTGAGATTAAGAGTACCCATAGGGTATAAAGTGTGAACCTTGACGTAGCTGCTGTAATTTCAAGCCGGTGTGGGCTTTGGAGCCCTCAGATATACATTACACGGTCCTTTTTGATGGCTGAGAGTAGGGACTCCCGCCATGGGGGGGTCATCTGCCCTGGTGTTGGTAGCTAGCTGGGGCCCCTTATGGTGGGGTCAGGTGCCCTGCCCCCATCCGTGTCGTGCCCTAAGGCCTTTAAGGTGGTCAGGAACTGTCGTTTTGTCCAACTGTGTACCCCTTGAGCATCAGGGGGTGTATTGACAGCTATGATCTTTAAGCGGGTGCCGGGCTGTGCAGATATGTGCGTCTACGTTGCCCTAGTCGGTGCTTATGGTCAATGTGTCAGCTACTACATTGTACTATAGGTATGGTGGTGACCATCATATTTGACACATATTGTGGTTAAAACAGAGTTAAGCCTGCTTGTATCATCTCCTAATCAGTGTGAACCTCCCCTAGATTGGAGTAGACATGTGTTGATACATGTGGCTAATCTCTCGGCCATATATAGGAGCGATGCAGGTTCTTTCGTGGATAGAGCTTTAGGGTCTCTGATAGTAGGGGAACTTTATCTCACCCGCCCCATCATTGGTCATCTGGGCAGTTAGGGTGGACAGTATTCATCTTGTCCGATATGACACTTATATCACAGGTGCCTCAGTTAACCCCTGAATAGTCATAACCATCAAACCAGCGTCTGGTTATGTGTGTGCATGCGACTCTGTCGCGCCTTCACTTACAGGTGAGCAAGGTGTTGTCAGAGCGTATTATGACTGTATTTGAACGGCATTGATCTATGGGATCATTTAATTGCTGGGTTATGAGATTTGCCCAAACTACTCTCCTTTCGGTGAAAGCTTCCTTTAGAGTATAAGGGGCCGAGTCTAATTGCATGTGTTTCTAAGGTATATCAACTTCGCTATCCAAGCGATGTCGCGATAGATTTGCTCTTTCATGGTGTACTGACTTCGTGGGCTCTGTTAAAGCTAAAGTTATAGCTAAAGAATACTTGCGGCCCTTGTAACGGCGCATCTGAGAGTCTCTTGCAGGCTCAGTAGACATGTTTGCTAAACAACCTATTGCAATTACATATTGAACCTGAAAAGTTATAGCTAAACAATACTTTCGGCCCTTGTAACTGCGCGTCTATGAGAGTCTCTTGCCGGCTGAACGCCATTCCAGTATCAATTTTCATTGTGGAAGAGGCACTGCTGCGTTCAATTTAACTGGAATGTCCCATTCCTTCAACTGCTTTAGGCCCTCTTTCGGAGTGAAGATCGGTTTAGTTCCTCCGTTGTGTTGGACCAGCAATTTGGTCAGGTAGCCCCATCTGTATCTTATTCCGTGGTGTTGTAGGGCTTCTACCACCTGTTGAAGCTGCTTCTTCGTTTCAACGTTGCCGTGGAGAGAGCTGCAAAGATCTTTACTGTGGGATAATCGTTGTGCGGCTGGATCCGGTTTCCGCTAGCTTTTAAGACCAGTTCTTTCATGTAAAAATAGTGTGCTTTGAGGAGCACATCCCTTGGAGTTGAATCTGGGAAATATCTTGACTTCGGGACTCTGTGTACCCGGTCTATTACTAGCATATCCGATGGGATATCCGGCGCATAGGCCCAAAGTAGGCCTCTTGTGTAGGCTTGTAGGTCCATGTGGAGTACGGATTCCGGCACTCCACGCAGTCGTAGGTTGTTCCTCTGTGCTCTATCTTTTGCATCTGCCGTCCTGGTTTCCAGTAGCTCCACTTTTGGTTCCAGGCTTTGGACATGATCAGCCATGTCATTATGTGCAGTGGCGTATTCCCCCATTTTGTGTTCCACGTGGGAATTTCGGGTACCTATCTCATGCATCCCCTTCCTCAGGGCGTCTGTCGTGTGTTGCCAGGAGGTAATGAGTCTAGTGGAGAGGGCATCCAAAGCTTGTGCCAAAAATTCTTTGGTTATATTTTCGGCTCGCAGAAGCTCCGTTGTGGGTGTCGGGAGACTCGTGTCTGATTCCCCATCGCCATCTTGGGAGTCGAGTTGAGAGGCCTGTAGCGCCACAGAGCCCTTTTGGCCCAAAACCTTTAGTTTGTCAGCTTTAGATGCCGTCTTCTTTGTTTTGTGGTGAGACATCACAGGTTGTTTAGGCGTTCTGTGCTGATTTCTGCCTGTTATATATGTTTTTAGATGGAGCTCAATACGCCCCCATGATTTGGATGATTTAAATAAAGTTTTTTGTTTTGACTGGAGGGACTGTATCTAAAATGCACACTTCTAATCTGAATAAAGCATGGCCTTACTTAGAAAACAGACATGTAGAGATGTAGCTGGCCTTAAAATCGATTGGTTGTGTAGGCTAATTTCTGTTAAGATGACGATTCTCACAAAATGTTATATTGCATTAGAGCTATTCCATTGTTCATTCCAATGTATTTTTTATGAAGATTTAATCAAATTTATATGGAGAAGCAAAAGGAGTAAACCCTTCTCTATTACAAAATCCTAAAGTTCATGAAGGTATGGGTGGCATTTACTTTTATAGATTATCATGCTACCAGTGCAGATGCAACCTTTTAGTTCAATTCATTAACACATTGTACAAGGCGCTTAGAATTAGAGAGGGACATACAAGCCAAATCATATACAATGTTTTTCATGTCTGACAGTAATTCTATTTAAAACTTAAAGGGACACTATAGTCACCAGAAGAACTACAGCTTATTGTATTTGTTCTGGTGAGTATAATCAGTCTTTCAGGCTTTTTGTACTAAACACTGGGTGGTTGTTTGTTTTTTTTGTTTGTTTTTTTTCAGAGAAAATGCAGTGTTTACATTACAGCCTATGGATACCGCCACTAGCCACTCATAAGATGGCTACTAGAGGTGCTTCCTGGGCCAGTTCTGCAGTGTGCAGCGCTATCATTCAGTATCTCCACTCTCTGCATGGAGAAACTGAACTTTTCTCATAGAAATGCATTAATTCAATGCATCTCTTCGAGGAGATGCTGATTGGCAGGGGCTGCGTTTGGTTTTTGCTAGCACTGCCCTTAATCTTGGCAATTACAGCTAATCCAATGCTGTCCAATGGGAAAGCATTGTGATAGGCTCAGATCACCACTTCTAATGATGTCCCCCAAAAGAGGCAGATCTGGGTCAGAGCCATCAGCAGGAATAAAGGTAAGATTTTACTATATTTAAGGGTTGGCCAGGGGGGCTAGCTGGTGTTTTTAACACTGTAGGGTCCAATACATGTTTTTGTTCCTTTAAAAAAAAAAATAAAAAAAAATTTATTCAGCAAAGAAGTAGATACAACAGTGCCTGTACCGCCGCATCAGCAGGCTCCAAGCTTGGTTTAATAACATTACGGCAGTCATCTGGGTGTATATGTGATATAGCTTACAGATAATGTTTGATTAGTCACTTTGTATATGTTGTGGTCAGGTTTAGCCGCTGAGAATTGGGCGTATGTTGGTTATGTTAGACCAAGTTTCTCCCCGTTGGGTGTGATTTTGGATGTACTTGGTCATTCTCCTATGTATCCTCAAGTGGGGTGGTGTATTGTGTGTATGGTGGAGACCGCCATGGTTGAAGGTCATTTTAGTGAGCTCGCGTCTGGTGTGCCAGCGTGTTATCTTATTGCCACGCTTAGGGGTAGCTGGGAGATTTGAGGACTTATTAGTTTGACTCAGTGCTAAGGTTGGTAGCCCGGCTGTGATCCCGTGGCAGTGTGGTGGCATGCATAGTGCCGTGTTGAGGGGGAAAGAACTGTTGCTCTCGTTGAGCCCTTTGGGCATGTTATAGGAGTCATGAGTGTGTAAACTGGGGGGTATTGGGGGTAATGGAGGCGGATGGGCCAGGTGTGACCTCTCTGTCATGTCTGTTTAGATCTTTTAGTATGTATTATGTGTTCTGTGGCGGTGTTATTGTGTCCTGGGCATTAGGTGAGGGATAGTCCAGTGTGTGTGTGGGCGGTTGTGGCTGGGAGCGGTTTCTTCCTCAATCCTACTGTTCGTAGGTTTTGTGTGTTCTATATGTAGATCTTTTAACCTTGGGGTCTGTTAATCAGAACTGTGTTATTCGTTGGACGTGAATACATCCCAGGGCTCCCATACGTCTTGGAAGAAAGTTTGTTTGTGTGTGTGATGGAGGCATGGATTTCCTCTAAGTTCCTGAGTGTGTCTATTCTGGTGATCCACTCCCTAATCGAAGGAGCAGCCAGGTTTTTCCATTTGACGGGGATGAGCAGGTTGGCAGCTGTTACTAGGTGTACGATAAGAGTCCGGAATGGTTTGGAGAGGGGTTGTGGGAGTATCATAAATAGTAGTGTTTGCGGGGTAGTGTTTGCAGTATTTCTGGAGAGTTGGACAGAGCCACCATGTGTGTGCTAAGGAAGCCCCTGGTTGGGAACATTTCCAGCAGATATCCTGTGAGTTGGGGAAGAGTCTGTGAATTTTGGATGGGGAATAGTGCCATCTAGAGATCCTCTTATAGTTACTTTCTTGAATAGCGGAGCATATGGAGGAAGTGTGTATTTGACGGAAGACGGTCTTCCATTGGGGAGTAGTGATCTGTACACCTAGGTCTGTGGACCACGAGTCCGTGAATTGGGGTAGTGTGTTGTGGTGCTCAGATCCTAGGAGTTTGTGGAATCTCGAGACTTGTTTGGTTTTGACGTTATTTGCCTTGCAATACATCTCAAAGTCTGTGAGAGTATGGGAACCACTAAGAAATGTGGGGTTATCTCTTATAAAATGGGACACCTGAGCATAGTGGAGAGTTTGTATCATTGTAGGGACGTCTTGTCTAGTCAAGCTGGTCAAGAATCGAATGCGGTGTTCCTCTACCACGGTGTTTAACTGGAGGTAAGTTTCCTCAGGTGTGTTATGTAGGTGTTGGTATGTCTTGGTTCGTAGGCCAGGTGGGAAGAGGGGGTTACACGTGATGGAGTATAGAGGGGATGGGTGGGGAGCTATACTATCTGCTTCTCGTATGCAGGTCCATTTCTGGAGCGTGGGTATGATCGTGGGGTGTATGGTGTGACCCAGAAGTAGTAGTGAGGGAGCTGCTTTTTGCCATGGGGTTGTGTGTAGAGGGACATTGAACATGGAGCTTTCTATCTGGGTCTATTGGCGGCTCGGTGGGTGGATTGACCATTCATAGATCCGAGACATAATTACTGTTTTATGGTACTTCTCTAGGTGTGGTAGTCCTAGACCGCCTCTGGACTTGTCTGGTGAGGGTGTCGTATGTGATTCGTGGCTGTTTTTGTGCCCAGATGAAGGTTATGAACAGTTGTCTAAGTTTGGTGAAAAAGGTCTTGGGCATGGCAATGGGAAGGGTCTGCAGTAGATACAGGATCTTGGGGAGGGTGTTCATTTTGAGGATGTTGACTATACAGAGCCATGGGTACTGTGGCTTGTGCCAGGAGCGGAGGTCTTTAGAGATTGTTTGTAGAAGTGGTGTAAAATTGATGTCAAACTTGGTTGAGAGGTCCACTGGGAGGTGAACCCCTAGGTATGTTATTGCCTTATCTGCCAATGAGAATGGGAACTGCGCTTTGAGGGAAGAACGGGCTTGAGGGGTCAGTTTGATTGGCAGAATTTCACTTTTAGTAAAGTTGACCTTGAAATTTGAAAGTGATTTGGTATAGAGAAATTTCCTCCAATAGTGGTGGCAGTGAGGTATCTGGGGACTGGATGGAAAACAGAAGGTCGTCTGCGAAGGCTGAGACCTTGTACTCCATCTGTTGTACCCGTATACCTTGTATGTCCGAGTTACTCCTAATACCGTTCAGGAATGGTTCCAGTATGAGGATGAATAGGAGGGGGGATAGGTGACACCCCTGTCTCGTGCCATTTCTAACGTGTACTGGGTCGGATAGTTGTCAGTTTATGCGAAGTCTCGTGGTTGGTGAGGAGTAGATGGTCTGCATCCATCTTATCCAGTTGGGGCCGAAGCCTAGTTTGCGAAGCGTTGCTATCAACAGGATCCAGTCAACCCTGTCAAATGCCTTCTCCGCGTCGATTGATAGCATAAGGCTGTCTGTTGGGAGGCGTTGAGCTATGTATAGGAGGTTGAGGGTTTTAGTAGTATTATGTTTTGCTTCCCTGGTTGGGACAAAACCCACTTGATTTCCGTGTAGCAGGGGGCGTAGACCGTTGGCCAGGATTTTCGTGAAGATTTTTAAATCTAGATTTATAAGAGAGATTGGCCTGCAGCTTCCGCAGTTGGTCGGGTCCTTACCCATTTTGGGGATGAGTTATGTGGGGATGGGGTTGGGAGGTTTCTCTCTTGTGCGAGAGAGTTAAAGGTCTGTACAAAGGGTTCTATCAGTTGTTCTGGGAACGTTTTATAATATTTGGCCATGATGCCATCGGGTTCCGGGCTTTTGCCCAGGGGAAGTTGTCGTATGACTACGCGGACCTCTTCCTGGGTAATAGGGGCTTCAAGGGAAGGGATGCTATCTGTCGGAATTGTTGCCTTGATCCGGGAGGCGAGGAAACATTCAATGTCAGAGTTTTAGGGCGGTGTATCCCTAAGATTATATAAGTCGGTGTAATATGTGTGAAATGCTTGTAGGATATCTGGGATTTTATATGCCATTGTACCTGTATGGGTCTTGATATTGGCTATATACGACGATTGTCTCTCTTGTTTGAGAGAGTGTGCCAGTAGGCGTCCGCATTTGCCTCCATGTAAGTAATAATTGTGTTTTGTAAGGAGGAGGGCGCGTTTAACCTGAGCGTTTAAAAGTTCCTGTAGGGCTGTCCTCTTGGCTGTCAGGGCCTTGTATGTGGTCAGTTGGGGGTCCTGTTTATGATTTTTTACCTTAGCCTCCTTCAATTTCTTATGTCGGGACGCTATACCTATTAGTTCACCTCTAATGACGGATTTGTGCGCTTCCCAAGCAATTGGTGTGGGTGTGTTGGGCAGCATGTTCGTGAGAAAGTAGTGTTGTAGCGAATTTGTAATGTGGGTTGTTAGCGTGGGGTCATTTAAGAGAAGGTCATTTAGTTTCCATTGAAATGGTTTTTGTGGCAGCATAGAGATATGTATAACGAGAGACAGGGGGGCATGGTCTGACCAGGTGATTGGACCGTAACTGCTGGATTGTATCAGGTGGAGGAATCTGTGGCATGAAGAACATATCTAGTCTAGAGTACGTTTGTGTTGCGGTCGAATAGAACGAAAAGTCTTTGTCTGATGGGTGTGTAGTACACAAGCAGTCATAGCGTCGTGCTCGGTCAAATAGCGCTGTCATTTGTTTGCGAGCGGATGCCTGGTATTGGGTCATATGCGACGTCGTGTCTAGTCGGGCATCTATGGAGAGGTTAAAGTCGCCCCCCATTATCCGAATCCCTTCCGTGAAGAGTTCTATGGTTTTGAGTTGTTTTTTTAAGTGTAGTACATTGGCGTTTGTTAAGGAGATACGTGTTAACTAATGTTACCGTGGTTTGGCCTATCTGGCCCTTAACCATCAGGAGCCTCCCTGTGTCATCTGTTTTGTGTGCTGAGTATGTGAAGGGCACATGGGCTGACAGTAATATCGCCACCCCACATGCTTTTGTGGATGTGTAGTCACTGAAAAAGCCTGTCGGGAACTTTCTGTTGTGTAGTGTGGGGGCGTTGTCCTTTTTGAAATGGGTCTCCTGTATGAAAGCTATAACTGCCTTCAGGCGTTGTAGTTCTAGGAAAGTCGTTTTTCGGGGGTGTTTAGGCCCCTCACATTAAGCGTGACTATTCGTACGGTCGTCATTTTAGGGTCACTTGGTGGCGTAGTGCTGGTGTTAGCCATCCTTGTTGCGGGTGTGTAGGGAGAGGGTAGGGGTGAAACTTGGGAGGAGTTTGAGGTGGGTAAACTTTTTAACTATTTACAAGAAGCGTGTGTCGTCTACAGTTACTGTGTTTGGCAGTAGGGGTGTAGACGTGTTGGGGGTTCCTTTGGTGGGCTACCGTAAGAGGGGAATGCCCCTTAGGTAGTAACTATGTACCTAGGATGGGTCTTTCAGAGTGGTTTGTGGGTGAAAAAGAGTGGCTGTGTGCGTTCACTGCCTCTCAATTTGGTGTGTAGGTTGATTTGTTTGCAAAATCAGCCTAGGAGGTGAATCCTTTTATGTTACGATTACTTTAGTCGGGTAGGGCAAGTTCATAGTTTATAGTGTGGGATCATAAGGGTGGTGGACGTAGAGGTGTGAGCCTGTGCTGCGGGGGGGGGGGAAGACATCTTTGGTGTAGCTGTAATGTGCCCTGTGTGTGTGGTATGTTCGGTGGGTGGCCCATGTTGCCTGTGTTACCATGGTGTCTGGATATTGGGTGTTCCTGTATGATGTGTCGTCTCTGGAACTGTATGACCACACTCACTGTTCAAGTACGGAGTTTCATCGGTGTGTCGGGTATGCAGAGTGTCCACTCCTAGTATTTTCGTGACTAGTAGGCGTACAAACATAGAAAGAGTGTATATTGAGCTGCATATCAATTCACAGATATAATATAATACACCATAACATTAGTAAAAATATAGTACAACATACCACAATGACCTCCTATCTTTTACAGCAATGTCAATAAGGGAAAGCCGTGTACAGTGCTAGTAATATTATCTATTTGTCTTTTGACCCCTCTCCCACCCTCCGTTCCAAGTCCACCAGCTTCAGGATTCCCTGGGGGAGAGGCTCTCCACGTGGGGAGGGCAGGTGTGAGGACCCAGTCTTGTCTCGTCTCTAGTCCTGTCATCGGCAGTGTCTCTACATTTTCCTGAAAGGGGCCGTAGGCTAGGTGGGTCTTGTTTGGGACAGCTACCGGCGCTGATGGTTGAGGTTGGCGTTATCTGTGACAATTTATTAATTTAACCTATTTTTTTTTTTTCTGTCTTCAT